GCCATCAGTTTAACAGCTGCAGACATCAACCATTGACACTGTCCATGCACTTTATAATGAGAAGAAAAATCAATTCATCAAGAAGAAATAGAGAACAAAAATTCATAGCAATAAAGAATAATGGGGGGAATAACACACCAATGTTATTGAAGATTTCAATATTCCCTTCTCAGTAATTGATAAAACAGGTATGAAAAAAATCAGTAAGAATAAAGACAGATTGATTGCTAGTTATTTGCAGCATGCTATGCTTTGACGGCACATAACAACAGTAAGAGAGTTTAGAAAGATTGTGAGATAGTCAATATAGAAAAAAAGAATAATAAAGAAATAGTAGTTCTATATATAAGCCAGAAAATGAATTTTTTTATTATTAATTTTAATGAAAGTTTACAGATACTTTGGATTTCATTCATTCATTTTTTGCACTTTTCTCTCTGCCCAACTTCCCCCACAGTTAGCTCTTCTCTTTGAAAAATTAAAGAAAAATTCTTTCATTGTTACACAATCCCTCCCCCCCAGGTCCACTCCACTATGCAGCCTTTGTTCTAGACTCCTGTCATGACAATAATACCTAATCACATATCCCTTTTAAACAGTTCTCTCCCTCCTCTGTTTCAATGCAGTGTACATAAATTATCTCATCTTTCTCAGTCTCCCCGCCAACCCCGATGTCAGTCCCGTTTTACAACAGTAGCACTATGCAGTATTTGTCCTTGTGTGACTGAGATAGTTCACTCAGCATAATGTCCTCCAGGGTCACTCATTTTGTATAATATTGCATGAGTTCCTTGTTTTTCAATGCAGCGTAGTATTCCATTGTGTGAATAGACCACAGCTTCTCTATCCATTCGTTTGTTGATGGGCACTTGGGTTGTTTTCCAACTCTTTGCTCTTGTGAACAAAGCTGGAAAAAACATGGGTGTGCATGAAAATGAAATTTTAAAGTATCATTTATAATGCTGTTGTTGTTACGTGTCATCGAGTCACCTGCAACTCATAGCAACCCTGTGTACAACAGCCTTATTCTGAGCGAGTTTCACTGACTCCAACACACCTTTCCCCACTACCCCAGTCACTATCAATCCAACTTGTCTGGGATCGTCCTCTCCTGCACTGTCTCTCCACCCTTCCGAGCATGATGTCCTTCTCCAAGGACTGGTCCCTCCTGGCCACATGCCCAAAATACGTGAGATGGAGCTTAAAAATCCTAGCCTCCAAGGAGAAACTTGGTTCTACCCTCTCCAAGACAGACTTATTTGTTTTCTTGGCAGTCCATGGTATGTTCAAGACTCTTCTCCAGCACCACAACTCAAAGACATTGATCCTTCTTCTGTCATCCTTAGCCACTGTCCAGCTCTCTGATCCATAGCAAGTAATTGTGAAGACTATAGCCTGAGACTATAGCCTGAGTCACGCACACCTTAGTCCCTAGACTGACATCATTACTCTTTAGCACTTTGGAGAGATCCCTGACAGCAGACTTCCCCAATATGTTTCATCTTTTGATTTCCTGACTGCTGGTGCCAAGAGTGTTGACCGAGGAGCCGGGCAAGCTGTAATTATTAACAATCTTGATCTCTTCTCCATCTAGCATGGTGTTGACAGTTGGCCCAGTGGTGAGAATCTTTGTCTTCTTGATGTTGAGCTTCAATCCATATTGAAGACTATAGTTCTTGGCTTTCTGCAGCAAGCACTTCAGGTCCTCCTCAGTTTCAGCAAGCAGGGTTGTGTCATCTGCATAACGTAAGTTGTTGATGAGTCTTCCTCCAATCCTGATGCTACCCTCCTCATATAGGCCAGCCTCCCAGATGATCTGTTTCAAAGATGAAAAGGCATGGAGACAGGATGCATCCCTGACACGCTCCTTTCCCAATTTTGAACCGTGAAGTAGCATAAAAAATATTAAGTATGCAGAGATAAATTTAACAAAAAACACTCACAAAAGCTTATAAAACACAGCTGAAGTTTTTAAAAGTTTAAATAAATGGAGAGCGATTCATATTCATGAATAGAAAGACAATATTTTTAAAATGTCAGTTTCTGCCAGATTCATCTATAGACTCAATGTAATTTCTATAAAAATCTCAGCAGGTTTAATTTTGTAGAAACTCATGAGTTGACTCCAAAGTTTACGTGGAAATATTACCTAAAAGAAGTAAAATTATTTTGGAAAAAGAACAAGTTAGGGATTTGTGGCATGTGGTTTCAAAACCTACTACAAATCTATATTAATCAAATCAGTGATTTGGGCCATTGCAGGAGAAGTGGTTCAGAGAGTGACTCACACAATATGCCCCATTGATATGGACAAAGTACCATTTACAATTTCTTTGTTGTTGTTATGTGCCATCAAGTCACCCGCCAGTGTTTGGAGCAGACCAGGCCGTCACGATTCTATGACCTTCGTCCCCACTGGCCTAGACCCATCTTCCACTCAAACACCGGTCTTGGAGGCTAAGATGTACCCCCTTTGCCACCACAAAGCCCTTTCTGCAAAGGGTGTCTTGCAGGGAGGGGGTTACAGGAAGATTGCACAGGGCAAGACAGGCAGGACAGGGCAGGGAGGGCAGGCAGGACAGGGCAGGGAGGGCAGGGAGGGCAGGACAGGGAGGGCAGGAGAGGGAGAGTGGGCAGGACAGGCTGGCAGGGTAGGGCAGGGAGAGCAGGCAGGGTGGGCAGAGCAGGGCAGGGAGGCAGGGAGGGTAGGCTGGGCAGGCCAGGGTGCCTAGTTGCCTGCTCCACAGGGTTTGCAATTCTGAAAGCCCTTCCCTGCCGGGGGCTCACCTCCTGCCTGGAGCCAGTGTCTGTCTTTAAAAGCAAAGCTCATCCAGGCCTTGGACACATACTGGCCCCTCACCTTGACTCCTGTACCCTCAAAAGATCTATGGCAGGGATCCTGCCCCCTAACAGGAAAACCAGGGCTGGACTGCAGGCATGGAGACGGGTCCAGCCGTGTGTGGCTGGTCAGTCCCAGGCAGAGAAGCTCGGAAGGAAATCACAGTGTTGGGACTCCCAAAGGCTAGCTTTGCCCCTGCATCCTCCGAGAAGCCTGCTCTGCATTCCTCAGGGGCCCTCCGTTCATGGAGCTGGGAGCCACGTGGGGAGCACATGAGGGGAGGAGAGGAGGAGCAGTTCTGGGCTTGCCTGGGGTGATGCGCCTGGCCTGTGGGCTTCACGTTCTGCCTTCTCCGGAGATGCCGATGGTAGGCGTTTTTATGTTGTGGATAATAGTGGTAGTGGTCTCAGGAGGGGAGGACTAAGAGGTGGAGAGGCGGGATTCTGTAACTGACTTCCCAATGAGTTAGCAGTCACAGGTGCGTGTGCGCATGTGTTCCTGCACACACTGTGATGTGTAGTGTGTGCTCTGTGCACGTGCTACGTGGTGTAGGGCATGGGAGGACGGCAAAGGTGTGCATGTGGGGGAGGCTGCTGTGGGTGGTTCATTCCGTCTATGTGCCATGTGCCCGTGTGCACGTCTGCACTGTGTGCAGGTATGTGGGCAGGGGGTTGGTGTGTATGGGATCAAAGTGTGTGCGTGCGCTTGTGCAGAGGTGTGGTGTGGCGTGTACGGGTGTAGCTACACATGTGATGTCTGCAGACGGTATTGTTGCACACGTGTGGGCTGTGTGTACTGTGTACGTGAGTGTGCACACATGTGTGTGCTGTGCCGTGTACTCGTAGGATCAGGAGAGACTAGTCTCTGGCCTTGCAGGCCAACAGAGAAGACAGGCAGACAGGAATAAAGGGTCAGTCTTCCGTCTGCAGCCAGCCCTGGGCAGGCAGAACTGGCCCATGCTGCCCTGAGGCTGTCAGGCTGCAGTGGGCCTGCCTGCAGAGGAGGGTCCTGAGCTGGAAGAGAGGGAGGAGGGAAGGGATGGGTGGGAGCAAGCCCCTGGGATTGGACTGGAGCAGAGACGGGGGGGGGGGGGGCAGGCCTTTCTCCCAGCTCCCTCCTTCTACCACAGGCCCCTAGTAAGTGGATGGGGGGGGGTGTGACAGACAAAGCACAGATGGGAGAATGCAGAGATGAGATGGGGGCAGGGGGCTCCTCCCAGGACAGGTAGTTACAGGTGGGGGCGGAAGAAGAGGGTGGGAAGCCTGAGGAGGAAGCCGGATTTTACAGCAGAGGTACATTAAGCCCTGGTGGCCCATGGCCAGCCCCCTCCCTTCCCGTCCTTCCTCTCCAGCCAGGCTCTAATTGAGGCAGGGGAGGGGCCAGTGATGGCGCATGAGGGCCCAGAAGGAAGCCAGTTGCGAAATGGGGGTCACAATTTGTCCTATAAAAGCCATGGGTTCCTGGCCCAGCGCCACCCATGCCTGGCCTGTTTCTCCAACCAAGAGCCCATGCAGGCCTGCTTTTCTGGTAAGGTGGGCGGAGGGTGTCTGGGGGTGAACTGGTCAGAAGGACCAGGGTCCAGGAGGCCAGGAGCCTGCTGAGGCGGGATCCAGAAGGAGGTGGGGCGGTGGGGATGGGGCGGGGGAGGAAGTGCCCCCTAGGCAGGTCACACTCCCAGAGGCCAGGCAGGGCGGGGCAGCGATGAGGACCAGATCTGAGCCCAGCTGCCCAGGAGCCAGGGAGCCCAGTCAGGTGAGGGCGACCAGAGGTGGCAAGGGGCCCTGGGTGTGGGTAGGTGCGGGCTGGAGTCTTGAACACTGGCTGGGCTGTCCTTCTTGCCCTGTCTAGTCTCTGGCTGGGGTTCCTCTCTCTCACTGACACGCCAGGCTCTCTCACAGCTGCCCCCACAGCCCCACAAAGGCCCCCCCTCTGGCAAGTACTCCACCGCCGGGCACCTCCCGAACGGACTAGAGTCGTGCAGATCAGACCCTGTGACCCACCATGCTCAAGGCGTCCCCCACCTCTGGTAAGGTTCCAGCCTCAAGGAGGCCAAGGCGCTCCCCCACCTCATAGATGAACCAGCGGGGCAGCGGGGCTTGAGGAAGGAGGTGCCTGGGGTACCTTTCCAGCTGTGGGGGGCAGGGGGCTTGGGGGAGGGGACATGACTGTGAACCCACAGCACGTGGCGTCCCCGGAGGAGAGCTTGGTGCTGGAACGCTCGCTGGGTACCAGCAAACAGGAGGCAGGAGGGAAGCTGGGAGGAGTAAGGCCCGTGGTGGCACAGCTGGTCACGTGTGGCACCTCTCTGGGCTCAGGTTCCCTAACTCTGCCCTCTCCTTCTGCCCCTGCCAGCTGGGCCTGAGCCCTTCTCACGACCCAGGGGCCCTGGGAACAGCAGCGAGGAGGAGTTGGACCCCCGGGACCCACTGCTGGCCAGGGCTGAGCTGGCCCTGCTCTCCACGGTCTTTGTGGCTGTGGCCCTAAGCAACGGCCTGGTGTTGGGCGCCCTGGTGCGGCGGGGGCGTCGTGGCCGGTGGGCACCCATGCACGTCTTCATTGGTCACTTGTGTCTGGCTGACCTGGTGGTGGCCTTGTTCCAAGTGCTACCTCAGCTGGCCTGGGATGCCACTGACCGCTTCTGGGGGCCAGACGCTCTGTGCCGGGCTGTCAAGTACCTGCAGATGGTGGGCATGTATGCCTCCTCCTACATGATCCTGGCCATGACCCTGGACCGTCACCGAGCCATCTGCCGGCCCATGCTGGCCTACCGCCATGGCGGCGGGGCGCGCTGGAACCGGCCGGTGCTGGCGGCCTGGGCCTGCTCGCTGCTGCTCAGCCTGCCCCAGCTCTTCATCTTTGCTCAGCGCGAAGTGGGCAATGGCACTGGCGTCCTCGACTGCTGGGCCCGCTTTGTGGAGCCCTGGGGCCTCCGCGCCTACGTCACCTGGATCGCTCTGATGGTGTTCGTAGCCCCTGCCCTGGGCATCGCGGCCTGCCAGGTGCTCATCTTCCGCGAGATTCACTCGAGCCTCGTGCCCGGGCCCTCGGAGAGGGCTGGGGGGCGGCGTGGGGGGCGGCGGCCGGGCGGCCCTGGCGAGGGGGCCCGGGTATCCGCAGCCATGACCAAGACCGTGAGGATGACGCTGGTGATTGTGATCGTGTACGTGCTGTGCTGGGCGCCCTTCTTCCTTGTGCAGCTGTGGGCGGCGTGGGACTCAGAGGCGCCTCGGGAAGGTGGGTGCAGCCCCACCCTGCCCCAGTAGAGGGCCCTAAGTACCGAGTAGGGCCCTGAGCCGCTGACGCCCCCTTTCAGGGCCCCCCTTCGTGCTGCTCATGTTGCTGGCCAGCCTCAACAGCTGCACCAACCCGTGGATCTACGCCTCCTTCAGCAGCAGCGTCTCCTCGGAGCTACGCAGCCTCCTCTGCTGTGGTCGGAGGCGAGCCCCGCCTGGCCTGGGACCCCAGGAAGAGTCCTGCGCCACGGCCAGCTCCTTCTTGGCCAAAGAGCCATCCTTCTGAGGAGCCAGTTGGGAGGAGGAGACCCAACGGGATTGTGCCTGCGGACCAGTCACTGTCACCTTATGGGGCTCCAGACCAGCCCTGATCCTCTCTGAACCTGTCTCTGGCTACAAGGCCAGACGTCAGGCTCCAGGATTTGGGGGCTTATCAATGAGACGTTTGTGAGCAGCAGGGGGCTACGGTACCCACTGGATAGGACAGGGAGTGAACAGGAGGAAGGCACCATGGGCTAGGCACCTTCCTCTCTAATCTCTCCCCCTCCTTCCTCCCTGCTCTCGCCCTAATAAAAGTTCCAGCTTGTACTCTCATGGTGTGAGGGTCTCCTTGGAATGGGATAACAGGGCGTGTGGGGGCAGCACAGACAGAGAGGCAAAGATACCCGCCCCCAACCTCCACCAACAAGCTCTGGAACACACCACATGGACCCTCAGCTTTCAAAGGTGGAGATCTCCCGCGCTCGACGGTCAGGGGGACCGTAGTGCCAGAGTCACCTGGTGCCAGATGGTCAGCCCCCCCCCCACCTGTCAAATCCACCAAAACAGATCTGGGGGTATCATAGGATCATCTGTCTTTATTAATAGACCCCACCCCTCAGGCACGTGCCACAGGAACATAGGACATGTGCTGGGACAGGCAGGGATGGAAGCACCTGCAGCAGCCTCCTCTCTGTACAAGGTCACAGGCAAGAGTCCTGAGCTGACAAAGCAGAGCTGCCCAGGCAGGGAGCTCCTGGCACAGCTCACTGTGGCTTGACAATGCAGTCAGAACCCTGGGGATGGGAGACTGAGGAGGAAGCTGGGGCACCAGGGCCTCGGGGGAAGCTTTTGTTCTTGCCAGGGCGGCTGAAGCTGAGGGAGCTGGGGGCTGCCTGCCCAGGGCCCTGGCGGACAGCAGCCTTTCCCAAGAGTTCCTTGAACACGGAGTCCATGGCTTGCACCATGCTCTGGTGAGGAGAGGAGAAGTGGAGGTGACTGAGGAGAGCACCCCCCAACCCGGCCCTACTCAAGACCCCCTCCCTCAAGCGCTTCTCTGTGCTACCAGGCTTTAGAACTGGCCTCTGTCCTCCATCAGTTCAGCTGGTCCCTGGGTCCCCTCCTCATGCCCACTTATCCAGGCTTCAGGCCTTTGCTGGGTGCTCTGCCCAGTGCGGCCTCCTCCTGCTAGCCTGGGAGGCCTAACTCCGAGCCTGTACCTGTCGGGCCCACCTACAGGCTCAGTGAAAACCCCAATCCCCAATCTCAGCACGGTGCCAGTCCCTTCAAGATGAGTCCAGTCCCTCTCCTAGCCTGCTCCCAGCCAGCAGCTCCTTTTACTGGGATTCCAACAGCACCAGCCCTATCCCCATCACCTGCCATTCTGACCCCTGCCCCGCACCCCAGTCACCCTGATCGGCAGCACCCTGAGCTGTCTGAGAGGAGCCCAAACCCCAGGCATCGTGCCCAAGAGGGTACAGGAGCTGGAGGCAGCTGCCCGAGCTCTCACTTTCTCCACCTCCGGGTGTCCGTCCGGGGAGGCTGGGACCAGGCACTTCCGTCTGTGCCTGGAAGTGCCCGTGATCTCAGGTGGGGTGCTCAGCTCTGACCTGCAGGGTACACGTGGGAGATGACCCTCCCAAGGTGATGTGACAGTGCCTCTTCCCACCCAGGCACCCTCGGGAAGCCCCTCTCCCTGTAGCCAGGGCTCACCCCACCCATCTCCCCTAGGAGCCCTTCTACACTGCCCTCTGCTGCCGCAGGAGCCACCAGATATGTCTCTGCCCAGGCCCTCACTGCTGGCCCAGGTCAGTTCCTCAGGCAAGGGGTGGGGACAGCCCTGCGCAAGGGTCCCAACTGGCCCAAGTTCTAGATGGACTGGAGATGCACTGGGTGCTGGGGCTGCCTGGAGGCTGGCTCCGAGCACAGCAGGGCAGCGGCAGCCCCCGGCCCTCTCACTCACCCAGCCACTGGAAGCGTGATGTACTTGTGGGGGACGAGTCCCTGCCTGCCTTTGTGCTCTCCCCACCACCAGTCCCCCGAGGCGCGGGCATGCAGCTGCAGGACGTCACCCCGCTGGAAGGTCAGCTCCTGTGCTGTCCGGCCCGCGTAGGCAAAGCAGGCCACAGCCTCCAGAACCCCCTCCAGGTCTGGGGAGAAGACGGATGTGGGGTGAGGTGGACACTGGGCCGGGGATGGGGCCTTCCTTCCCAGTCCCTCACCTTCCTCCTGAGCCAGGGCCTCAGCCTCGAACTCTAGCTCGTGCTCCCCAGCCATGCTGTCCAGCTGGGTGTCTCTGAGATCAGAAGCAGGTAAGAGTGAATGCGGGAGCTCTAAGCCCACTGGGTGCCCCCACCCAGCCCAGCAGGCCTACCCCAAACAGCTGGCCGAGGGTGGTGCCATGCACTTCTCATAGACAGGGCCCGGCAGCTCCGCCGGCGGCGGGAAGACCTTCTCTGGCTGCAGGATCAGCGTCTGCACCAGTCGATTGAGGCGGCCCTGCAAGGCCACGGGGTCCTGGCCGGCAGGCACAGGCAGCAGCGTGGGCCCGAAGCACACAGCCAGGTTGTAGGGGTCCATCATGTTCTCGTCGCTGTACTGGGCCAGGCTGGGGGCCAGCAGGTCAGAAGCGGAAGCGGTGCGCCCCGCCCCGAGCCCCCCCACCCCTGGGCCCCCATACTCACTGGTTGAGGAAGGTGAACAGGTACCGCAGGACCACCAGCACCGGCCCAGGCAGCTGGCCCAGCAGGCGGCTCACTGGCTCGGCCCACTCGGCCGCATCCTCCCGCTCTGCAGGTGCCCCCACCAAAGGCCTGTGAGCAGTGGCTGCCCCCCCCCCCACGCACGCGGGCCTTACCTGCGGGCGCCAGGAACTCACTGAACAGGTCCGGGGGGAAGAGCGGAGGCTCAAGACCCCGGAAATAGAGCTTCAGCACCCCAGCCACGGAGTCCAGGTCCTGGACACCACAGCCTTCGACCAGGGGGTCCTCGCCTAGGGAGGACACAGGGGGAGGGGCGGCAGCTGACAGCCTGCTCGAGCCCTCCTCCACGCCCCCCTCCTGCCCCCACCTGCCCTGCCATCTCACCTCTCTCAAAGGCGTCACGGATCTCCGAGATCCGGGGCTGGGCCCCCGACACCCGGAAGATGCCTTCATGCTGGAGGCCTGCAGGGTGGGTGTGAGGCCATCGTAAGTGCAGGGACTTGAGCTGGCACCGAGAGGAGCAAGTGCCACACAGTGCTTACCATTGAGGTTAATGAAGCGGACACAGCTCTCCACCACGAGGGGCACGGGCTGGCCAGAGCTCTGGGGGCAAAGCCGGCATTAGTGGACACCTGCCCCGTCCCCACCGCCATCCACTTAGGCATCGTCTCAACCCCATGCTGTGTGTTCGCTCTGGCCTGTGACCAGCTCTGATGCTACTGCTAATGCCATGCATTCGATTCCCCAACTGCTTTTGCAAGAAAAGAATGTTGGTGGCACAGGGACTAAGGACTCCACTGCTAATTGAAAAGTGCAAGGTCCAAGTCCAGGTTCAATCAGCAGCTTGGGGTCCCTGGGGATCCTATGTAGCAGTTCTACTCTGTCCTCTAGAGCTGTGCAGGCCAGGATTAACTCGATGGCAATAGGTTTGGTAGGTAAAATGCTGTCAAGTTGTGGACAGCAGCCTTGAGTTGGCAAAGTCTGTAAACCCCAAATCTGTGAGGTGACAGGATGTGACAACTGTGTTCAATGTTCTACATGCAGATCCAAGAGCTCTGGTGGCTAGTGATTAGAAGCTGCCCTGCAATCCCAAAGGCACGCAGTTCCAATCCACCAGCTGCTCCAATCACCAGCTTCTCTCTGGGAGAAGGATGGCCAACCTCCTCTTGTGTGATTTACTGCCACTGAACACCGGCTGGAGGGTCAGCTATGGGGCAGTCCTGACTTGATGGCCCAGCCACGTCGCTAAAATGGAGCTTCGGCCCTTCTCTCCTGGCCTTGCTTCCCTGAGCTAAGTAGCGAGGACTCTGCCTTGGGGACTTCCTCACTGGTGTTTTAGTGGTATGTGCCCTTCCATCGGGACATGGCCTGCAATCGCTGTGATCACCAGGCGCCTGCTCAAAGGGAAGGGCTGAAGGAAGAAGCAGCCCTAGAGGTGACCCGCTACCCCAGGGTGCCAGTAGGTGAAGAGAGTACCTGGATGAACTTCTCCATGTCTCCTCCAAAGAGCTTCTGGTTGTACTGAGAACTGGGCCGAGGGCGCCGCACCCTCTGGACCTTCCTCTGTGAGTACTGGGCCCTGTGGTGAGGGAGGCAGCATGTGGCAGGGCCTGCAGAGTGAGGATCCACTGGGGGATCGGGCACACGTGGGCTCAGCAGCGGAACTGGGCTGAGGATAGGGGACAATGTGCCAAACTCACCAGGACATCTGCTCCTCCTTGTCACCTGTACAGAAAAGTCAAGGACAAGATCAAGGTCATGTCCCTTGCTGGGTCAACCAACCTCTCTGAACCAGTGGCAACGAAATGCGGCTAGGGAGGGGCAAGCCCTGAGTGCAACGCGGTGCCCACCTCTCTGGATTGCCTCCTGCAGTTGCTCGTGTTTGGCCTGCAGCTTGGCAAGGACACTCCGGCCACTCAGGTATTCCTGCAGCTTCTGGGGAGCTGGGACTCAGTGTGTGCTCCTGGCCTGCACCACCCGGCCTCTGCCCCTGTCCAGCCTCCCTGGTCCAGCCCGGCGCCACCCACCGTGACATAGAAGGTTTCTGTCTCCTGCTGTTGGCCCCGCTTCCGGCCCATTTGCCGAGCCCCTGGGTCTGAGCCCGTGGATTTGAGAGACTCGGTGGAGGGACTGGCCTGGAGTGAGTCAAGTCCGTCACCGTCATCCAATGCCACAAGGTCCAGAAGAGCCTGCAGCGTGGCCTTCAGCGTCTTGTTCACCTGGGGAGGGAAGAGCACAGGACAGGCAGAGAGTGGAGGTGAGGAAGTCCAAGCAGGGAGGGACGGGGAGCTGCCCAAGGCCCAGCTACCTCCTCCGTCTCGATGGTTTGTCGGCCTAGGCGGCTCTGGATATTCTGGGCTCTGGGCACAATCTCATCCCGAAGCTCCATTTCCACCTGGACCTCAGACACCTGCAGGGACACAGCCAGGACAGAGTTCTCAGATGCCTGGTGGCACAGACTTGGGACAGCCGGCGCGCAGGTCTTCAGGGCAGCAGCACCAGGCCTGGCACGTGAGAATGATGGTTCTGAAGGGGTTAACACCAGGCTTGACAGCAGGGACTCCAGCAGCACTGTGCACACGTGTTCACGGCCATGAGCAGCGCTGACTGCTACAGCCAAAAGGTCAATGTGATGGGCACGTGTCCATCGTTGGCAATGAGAGGGTGGGTACAAACTGTGATCCTGCCATAAAGACAGATGGAGCTCTGATACTCCATTGCTGTGACACGCCTTGAGCTTTATTATGAACTATCCACATGAGGTCAAATTGAGAAAAGCAACCCAAAAGGTTAGGAGGCAGCACGCTCATGCTGATGAGTGTGGAGCAAGTCAGCAAACAGGGCAAGAAAGCTGCCCAGGAGCGCGCCAACATGCTGCACGGGACCTGGAGAAGCTGCAGCTACCAAATCAAAGCTGTTTAGGGAAAAACCTGCAAGGAGTGGAGTGGTGGAAGTCAGACACGAAGGCCAAGTATGGTCTGATTCCACAGATGGGAAATGCCCAGAAAAAGCAGAGACAAGGCCAGGCGAGGTGAGGCCGTGACCGGCCAGGAGGTGACAGCAGGTCTCATCAGGGGTGACTGCAAGCAAGGGCACAGCTCTAAATGCATTGAAGCTACTGAATGAGCATTTGAATAGGTGGATTATATGGTGTGTGAGTTGTATTTCAGTTACTCCATGGGAGAAGGATGGGCAGTCTCCTCCCATGCGATCAACTGTCTCTGAAAACCTGACTCTTTGGTACATAACAACAGGGCATCAGTAATCCCAACCACATAAGGAGAGAAGGCAGGAAGGAGAAGGAAGAGCGTCCGAAACGAATTAGAAAGCAGACATTTGTTAATGATTGGGTGGAAACCCAGTGTGCTTTGTCAAATTTCACTCTAATTGCAATAAACATTTAGGAAATAAAGGGGGAAAAAAGAAATCTAGTCAGGATGGTTGGGCCAGAGACCCCTGAAGGGGGCACATCTAGACAGGAACAGCTGCTCCCTCTGAATGGGAACAGCGCCCCTCATAGACAGATGGGGCTAGGAGAAGAATGATGCCAGAATATGTAAAAACCCAGAAAAATCTTACACACGCTGTTGGCCGAACTCACCCGACGCCTCTGTGAGCGCACATGTGTGACTGACAGCTGACCTTGGTGTTCCCCTGGTGAACAGAAGAGTGTCACAGCCTTGGTCTCCGAATGTCAGGAGGAAAACACAAGACTGTTGTTCAAGCCACATGGATGTCCAAACGGCCTGCTGTGCCCGCAGCTGTGAGGGACAGCGGGTCAGCCCTCCCGCCTTCGAGATAAAATGTGTCCAATCACAGACCTGCTCTGCATCTGCACAGGGCAAAGCCCACTTCCCTGAACGCCAAGCTCCCTAACACCAGCTACATCCTCTAAGTCTATTGTAACTCCTCTTTCTGGAAGGTTCCTCAGGGCAAGTAGTAATCAAGCCAATGATTAAGCTCACTAATGAGTTGGTCCACCATGTGAGGTTCCTCGAAAAGGGCAGAGTCACTGCCCAGTCACCCAACAGTGAAACCCCTACTCAACGTCGAGTTTCTACTCCCGCCCTTCAGTACGGACTGGGCCACAGTGGAGGGAAGGCCCGAAATGAAAGACAGACCAGAGGAGGCTGGGAAAAAGAAAGCAGAGGGGACAGAGGGAGACGCCAAGAGCACACAAAATGACATTTAAGAATATTTGGTAAAAAATCATCCAGGTAAAAAAGAACAAAGGGCCATTTTCAAGGAACAGAAGGAAAACCCCTAAAAATGAAAATATGAAACTGAAAAAGAAAAAAAAAAGTTCCAAGTCCTGAATAGCATCGATAACATCCACTGGAGGCTGAAGCCAGTGGAGTCATGCCTTTTACGTCCTAAAATGCTTTTCAACCTTGAATTCCACACCCAGTCCAAGGACTAATCAGTTGTAATAGCAGAACACAGACATTTTTAGTCATGGAAGGTCAGGAAACTTTGAAGAAGGTGTCCCATGATGCCCAGGTGTGCTGTCACTGTTTTGTTCAGGGGTAAAGTCATTCATTTCGGGGGGGGGGGGGAAGGAAAAACTGTCCAAGGAAGGAAAAGCAATAAGGGATGCGATTCAGCTGTGAGCATATGTTGTCATAATTAAACACCGAATGTTTCATCAGAATTTCTGGGCTAATAAAAACCGGAAGAAGGGCAAGTGGGCGTGACAGACGTGGAGACGTCTTGGGCTGGTCCCGAGTTGGCGGAGCAGAAGTAAAAGTGAGAGATCAACTTGCAGCCCACTCGTGATGTGAACCTGAACTTCTGTGTGATCTGAACATGTGGAGAGAAGCGCTGAAGCAGCAGCTAGAAAAGGTAAAGAGGGCTATTTCCAGGGAGCTGGCGCGGTGGCAGGAGGCTGGGGAGAGAAGTGCCAGTGGGCACGAGGGTAGACCACGTATGAAGTTGTCTAAGTAGGTCTTACTGTGGAGGTGGTGTTGGGCCCTCAAGTTTCGTTACAAAACATCCAGAAAAGTTGAAAGAACAGTACATGAACGCTCATGTCCCCACTCCCCCAGCTGCCACTGTTAACATCTTATATGTCAGCTTGTGCGCGCGCGCGCGCGCACACACACACACACACACACACACACACACACACACACACACACACACACACATATGGAGGGAATGCCAAACTATCAGAAAGGAAGTTGCAGAAGTTTCCTGCTGGTTTTACTGGTTCATTCTTGTTCACTGGTTACAACATTTTCTTTTCCTTTTTTTTTTTTTAACATTTTCTTTTGCCAACGTAATCTGTTTCTGTTCCTTAAACCAGTAAAAGCAGCTGCTGTCACATCACAACTCCCAAAGGTTGAGCCCATGGGTTTCAGAGCAGAACTGTGTGCGTTCACAGGGTTTCCAGCAGCTTTTCTTGTGTGGCGGACTGTGAGGCCTGGAGCCACCAGCTCTTCAGACAGCCGCTGAACGCTTGGCCGTTTGCACCTCCCGAGACTTCTCCCACCAGAGGACGTGAAGGCCTTGAGGGGAATGGAGCCCAGGGAGGCTGGGGCATTACAGGGCTGGAGGGCCTCACCTCATCCCCTTCATGGGGCTGGTAGTCAAAACGCAGCGGCGGACAGAAGGCCTCTGCATGCACCTCGAGCACCTTGGCCTTGTCCCCCGGAGGGTCCAGGGACTCTACAGCCTCCTCCAGACTGCTGAGGCCCTGCATCTGGGAGGCCTGGCTGCGGCTCTCAGCCCCCGTATAGCTGCGAAGCACCTGGCCCAGGGCCAGGTGGAACCCTGTGTCACAGCACTGCAGGACAAGGAAGAGCCTGGTCAGGGGGACCCCGGCAGCGTGGCCTCGCATCCTCCCCCCACCCCACCCACCCCCACTCACATCTATTAGGTCCAGCACATCCTGCAAGTAGTAGTTCCTGACTGCGGCGTTCACACTGGCCAGACTGAGCAGGTACTCGTTCCGGGCCTTTGTGCACTTGAGCTTGTGCTCCAGGAACTTGGCCTGGCGCTGGGCAGACAGCACAGCCATTCGGGTCACCCACCTCTGCCCCTCTTCTGAGGGCTCTCCAGCCCACCCAGTACTGATGCCACACAGTCACGCTGTCACCCAGAGAGAGACCCTCAGTGCCAACCATGCCCCGGGTGATGGACACTGTCCTCGTGTGCCACCGAAAGGACTGGACACTTGAACAATAAGTCACCCCCTTCCTGCCCACACAGCCCCAGCCCTGAGGTGGAGAAGCTGGAAAACCCTGTGAAGCAAGCAAGCTGATGATGGCCAATGCAGGCAAGGGCGACAGCTGTCTCAGGGCTCGGCATCTGGGGCTGGCAGGCTGGCAGGCGCTGTGCTGGTAGCACCAAGGACCTTCCCGCAAACACAGCCGAAGTGTCACCCACAGACACTCGAGGACATCCAATTGTAGCCAGCCTGGCCCTGCTTCTGCTCCACCAGCTGTCATCCCAGCCGCTGCCCACCTAGAGGTCTCACCCCTCAGGAAGCCCGTGGAGCTTTGGGAGGAAGGAAAGACTCCCAGCCCTGGAGGAGGCACGCGGTACGGTTGGCGTCCAGGCCCACCAAGCATGCCCAGGTGGAGGGGCCTTCCCGAGCCTGCAGGGCAAAGCCTTCCTCCCACTGGGGCCATGTGGACAGCCTAGCCCTTTGGAGACGGACAGGCCCACCTTCTCCACCAGCCGCCCTCCCTTCTTTAGAGAGCTCTTCCGGGAGGGCCCAGCCTCAGGGCCAGCAGTGGTGGTGGCGGTGGCGCTCCGGCCAGCTCGCTTCTCCTCCTGGCGCTCGGCCTCTCGCAGCTTGCTCTCTGCGTTCACACTTTCTGTGCGGTACACCTGGTATGTCTTCCTGGCCTGTAAAGAGGACCAGGATGGGGCAGCCATGCTGAAGACCAGGGCCTCTGACGGAGAGGCTGGCGGGTCTCATGGAGCACTGAGACCTGAGGCCTGGGGAGAGGGGTGCTGCCTCCCCCGGATGTGGGCATTCAGTTCTCCTGGGGCCCAGCCTCACCGTCTGCAGCTCATAGACCACCTCCAGGAGCTCCTCCTGCAGCCGCTGCTCCAGCTCCTTACTCTACGGAAGGGGTGAGGAGGATGTGACCTGGGACAGCCCCACATTGCTGCTCGCGCTTCCAGATCCATTCTGCCAGCCCCATCTCGGGCCACACAGGGCCCCTGTGCCTGACATCCACACAGCCCTCCACGGCCTCCAGACCAACTACCACAGCCCACCACCCTCACAAGATGCGGGACATTTCTGGGACTCAGGTCAAAGATCTCACCTTCCTGACTATGCGTCCCACGTCCTCCGCAAGATGGGCCAGGCGCTGAACCAAGGGCCCGGCCAGCACCTCACTGAGGGCTGCGTGCTCCCGGCTCTGCTGCCTCGTCTGCTGCAGCAACACAGCCCAGCAGTGCAAGGGCGACAGGAGGGATGGCTCCTTCCTGGGTTCAGAGGGGCACTCAGACCTGGGCAGCCCAGCCGGCTCGGGCCAGCCCACGCACGGGCACAGCACCTACCGGAAGCTTTGGTGCTCTCGGCTGCTGCCTAGACGGCCACCTCTACCAGCAAAGCGTTCGGCCAGCTTGTCCAGGCCCCGTGAGTACTCGAGCTCCACGTCCGCCCGGCGCCGCATGAACTCAGCCAGTTCCTGCAGCAGCTCCCGCCGCAGCTCGCCCTGCAGCTCCAGACAGCGCAGCTGCTCGCCCAGTTGCCAGCGGATCTCTGCAGGGAGCAGTCAGTCACTCAGTGGAGCCAAACACCCAAATCCCTGGGTCTTGTTTGCTAAGGGTTGGGTAAGCTGTCCAGAGTTCTGGGCACCCATGTCCAGCTGGGCCAGGAAAGGCTCTGGGGGCCATAGGGAAATGGTTAGGAAGGACGACAGGGAAGGGTGTCAAAGGGGAGAGAAACATCAATGCCAAGGCCAAGAAAGGTCCACACAAATCCCTCTCAACCACTCTTCCCTGTCAACAGCCAGCCCTCCCTCTCTTGGGCTTCCCGGCTCCTTGCTCCCAGAAATGCCCCAACATTTTTTTTTTTTTTTAGAAATGCCCCAACATTTGTCCCCTTCCTTCCTCTCTGGTGCCCAGGACCTTGGCCAGGCAATGAAGAAGGAAAGTGGCCTGCAAGCAGATCAGCTTTGGAGGAACCCACTCCCTCATGTCCCGCCACGGGAGAGCCTGCCCTGGGCCCCACTGCTGGTTGGTGTTGGGACACCTTATCGCCTGTCTGCTTTGGCAATCCTACCTTCCCCACACACAGCTAACACGTGGAGGGAAGAAAGCGGCAGCCACCCAGAAAACACGCTTGCAAATGCGGGCTGGACCCAGCCTGTGTCCTCTGACACAGACTGCCCATTCTGGGCCTGCATGGGCCTGGGCCCTGCTCTCATGGAGCTAGGCTGGGAATGAGGTGACATACAGCAAGTGAATACATACAGGGGGCTAAGGTGCATCAGAACAGAGGGGGCCAAGAACGGCCTGTCAGAAGAGCAACAGTGGAGCAGGGCTAAAGGAAGCAGGACTGCAGGCAGATGGCTCAGAGGTGGTGGCCACAGCCCGGAGCCATGTGACCTGGTTTTGCCTGGCCTGGAGGAGGCAGGTAGGGAGTGGCAAGACTTGGAACAACACTGGAGCGGTTTGGCGTTTTTAACTGCCAGTGAAACCCCAGCATCACAGGGCATGGGGTGATCCTGTGGGTTTGTCGGCCCAGCATCCATTCTCTCTCTGACTTTTCAGAGTTGAAGGCAATTGGCCTCCATTCTCATACCCATCTGCCTCAAAGACCCCAGCCCTCTGGGTCTCGGCAAGACCTCTCCAAGGGGCCAAGCTGGGTAAACGGAGTGGGGACTTTCAGGCACTGATATCAACACACAGCAGGTCAGAGCTGAGGGTACCAAGGGACTAAGGAGAGGCTCAGGATAGGGACTTATCGGTTCCATGAGCCATTTTGTGTCATGGGCCACATATCACTTGGGATTGGAAGAATCTTAATGGAACCAAGATAATATTTTTTCGATAAAAGTAAATTTAATTTCTTTCCAAGAATGGTCTGCCCTCCACATCTTCTGTCCAGCGGGGCCCTGTCTTCACTGGAGGCCCACATTCTCAAGGGACGGATCACAGCCAGCAGCACTGAACAGACTGGCAGACAAAACGATTCGTTTATGCTTCGATGCCAGCAGCTAATACTATAAGCCAGGCCTCATTCTGGTTCAGACATGCGCACAGGCTGCTGTCAATTATCAGCGGGATTTAGAACACCCTACTTTGAAATGCACCTGAGCTCCCCTAGCGGCAGCCAGCAAGCTGACACTCCTAGCCGAGCCACTGTGGAGCCTTTAGTCCTGCCTTGGCCCCCTCTAATTTAGGTCCAGTCCTCTTGCCACCCTCTTCTTGACACTTCAGACTTTCTCTCTGTAATGGTTTTCATCATCACCCACAAGACTAGAGTTGCCCAGGCCTCTTGCTCACCAATGTCTCAGGGCCTGGGACAAAATAAAAACCACGGCCGTCAAGCCGGTTCCAATACATAGCAACCCGCCATCGGGTTCCCAAGGCTGAGTTTCTGGAGAGGAGACCACTCCTCTTTCTCCCGCAGAGGACCTAGTGGATTCCAACTGCTCACCTTCCAGTTAGCAGCCTGATACAGCATACACCGCACCATCACAGGTGAATACCAAACCTTGACCAGTGACGGGATGGGACCCACATACATTCGAATGCAGAGCTGGGGCTTGGCCTGCTGACACTTCCGGTAAACAAGGCCCACACTCTCACTTCTGACAACGAAGCAGAAGAGAAGTTGGGCCCCAGCAACCTTGCTTTTTCTAGCATGGTAGGAAGTTGAGTGGGGTTTTGGTTGTTTTTTGAGGAAGGATAGGGAACAGTAGGTAAAATCGGTGATCTAAAGCAGGCAAGGGCCATTTTCAAGGTTGTCTGAGAGCTGGCTCGGCCTGTGGATAAGGACACTGATGGACTTGTGTCATCAATTATTCACACTGAATAATTACAATAGAACTGCATCTCCACAACATGCGGAAGAGCCCCAAACTCTGAAAACCAGCTATGTGACCAGAAATCAGTCACCTGGAGGGGCTTCAGAAAAGCCCTGCGTCAGCCTCCCGGGGTGGCGAGGCAGCAGAAGACCCCAGGTGACTCTAGGTTCCTGAACTACGGTGCTGGCTGCCAGCTTTGCTTTGAGAGGGCAGCCGAAACTATCGACTAGGAATTTTTCAAGCTGATTTGCATCCGATTTGCGTGGAAGCGTTTTGCCCAGCCCAGCGGGCCTCCACAGGTCTGATGGTCTCTGAGACACCCCAATGCTAAAGGGAGGGAAGGGTGTGGCCTGGGGCCTGCCTGGCTGGAGCCTTCCTCCCTCATCACCCCTGGTATCCCGCCTGTTATCCCCCACTTTCTGAGTGGCGCCTGGATATACCTGTCCCGTCTTTGCATGGGCTCCTCCATTAGGTGCAGAGATCAAGATCTAAGGAGAGTACCGAAGGGAAGAGACCCAAGGGGACCTCCAGCCAAGGTGGGCCGGGGAGGCCAGCAAGAGAGGGACTCCCTCTCCCCTCTCCCCTTGAGACGGCAGGGTCGAGGGCAGGGTCGAGGGCTGCCGGGACTTCCTCGACCCCCAGCAGGGCGGCCGCCCTCTCACCTTTCACTTGCGCCTCATACTCGGCCTGCGGTCCCCGCTCCCTACGCAGCTTCCCGTGCGCGGCCATGGCCGTGCCGTCGAGCCCTGCTACTCCCACACGCCTGCAGTGCAGCCTGAGGAGCTGGGACCTCGGGCGGTGCTGCGGGGGAGCTCTGCGCGCCGCCCCCGCCCCCAGCGGGCAGGCCCCGCCCCCGCCCCGCTCTGCTTGCTGGGGCTGGGGGGGTGAGGGTCAGGCCTGGCCCCTCCTTTGCGAAGGATCGGCATCTGAGAAAGTTTGTGCCCAGCAATTAGGGCGGTCGTGGGAGCCCCAAAGTGGCCAGTGACACCACAGCTATTCTGATCTGGGTTCCCCATGTGGCCTACTTTCCTCAGACCCCTAGGACATCAGATGGGCTCCCCACTTCCCTCCCTTCCCCCACCACAAGCCCCAGCAATGAGCGAGCCCAGGAGTGTGAGAGCTGGCAGGGGTGGAGGGTCCGCCTTCAGCCTGAGTCCCTCCAGGCGTCTACAGAGCAGACGCAGAGGCCCTCTGCCTGAGCTTCCCCTTCTGCTGGCTCGCGAGGAGGAAGCAGCCTCAGTTCTCCAGAGGTGGTTAGCACTTCCTGCTGCCGGAAGTGGCCCTTCTGCCTCCTCTCCCCACACTTTGCACCTGCCACATCCTGAACCTGCCCCTCTTTTGCCCTTTCAGAAAGGCCTTAAGGGAGCAAGTCATAGGTCCCCCCTCATCCAGGAGTGCCGGGTCTCCCTCCACCCTATCCCACTGCTTTCACCCAGGAAACAAGCAGACTAGACAACTGTCTTTGGTTTGGCAAAAAGAGATTTCCCAAGGTACAGATCATGGGAGAGAAGCAGATAGGCCCCAGCCTTTTGTCCCTGAAGGCATACATGCAGGCAGAGGTGCCAAGGGTTCCTGGATTCCTGGATGTCAGAGTGCTGTCGTGAGGTCTGGGCACTGGACAGGTACTTTCTGCCTTGCGCCTAGAAACAATTATTTTGCCCTGAAGTGGAAAACATACCTCAAGCCCTAGCATGCAAATCCTTATTTAAGTCACCATGTCTTCACAGGACCTGGAGCTTCAAGGTCTGGGACCTGGCTGGACCCCGGCTGGCCCAATACTTGGGCTTCTGGCAGCGACACACATGCACACCCTAAAGTTGCATCAGGCATCTCTGGGAGAGGTGAATTAGGCACCCCACACCCCTGCTCTTTCCTCTTACATCTGAGCTGCACCTCAAACTCCCTCACCAGGCACTGGACACTAGGCCACAGAATCACCTGCCCAAATGAATTGCACCCTGCCTTCAAATGTCCTCCTCCGCCCCGTCGTGACTCTCACTGATGCCCTTCCAAGGATCCTAATCCCAAGATCCCTCAAAAAATGAGCACCTGGGGAGGTTGGATGGTCGGCCTGCACCAGGGAACACAAGCTCAGCAGGAGGCTATCACAGCCATCGGAGATGAGGTAGGGAGAAGGTGAACCTGACTCTTAATTTTCCCACAAGTCACCTTTCCCTCAGTGTTTTAATAAAGGGATTTCAGTGGTCCAGCCGGCGCGTAATGCACTAGAAAGGAGGTCCAGGATTCGCCCCAGACTCTGGTCACCAAGGACTACCGGGAGGTCGGGGTAAGCGCTCGGTCCCAAGGGCCAGACGCACCTGCAATTCCCTTCCCCTCCGCCCAGGTAACCCAGCCCTTCAAATCGCTTTTGCCGTTAAGCTGCGAGGAAGCTGAGCGTGCACCCAGCCTGCCAAGGCGCTGGGAGCCGCGCGGGAGAACCGGCTGGGCCCGACAGGACGGAAGAGGGCGCGGTCTGCCCAGATCCGCAGCAGGTTCCCGCGTCCCCAGGCAGCAACGGGCTGCCCAGCTTCGGGAGCCAATCAGAGCCTGGGAACAAAACCTGCCGCGGCTCACGAACCAGAAGAGCCTGACGCAAGACGCCAAGGGCGGGGCTAGACCCCGCCTTCAGCAATGGGCGGGCTCGAGCCAATCAGCAACGGTCCGGCTGAGCCCGTAGACTGCGCATGCGCGCACTTAGCGCAGGCGCACCCCTCAAGCTTAGTGCACTCGAGCCGTCGCATTCTGTGTTGCTCTCTGCGCCAGCCAGAGGGGGGTGAGGGTGTCGTGGGCGGATAGTTCAAACACTCAACGTGATTGCCCGCCTATCTGCCCCAAGAGATGGGCAAGTCCAGGCAGTGCACAGCACAGGGACCCATAACAGTGGGTCATGTTTCAGACCCAGCAAAATCAAGGACAAGAGGTGCAGCGGCGGTTAACAGCGAAGTGGAGGCCACGGACATGACATTCTGCACTTGTCTGTACCCACAGGTTGGCAGACACCAAGGGGGAGGGCACTCCCCACAGCTCTGGGCTGTGCTTAAGTTTCAAAATCCCGGTTCATCAATTGTAAATACTCCAGGGACAGCCACGCAGAGGGGAGGGGTGGGGGAGAGGGAGACCCAGCTCTATGAACCGATCATATCTGCTGAATGATTCTGTAAGTCTGACACAACTAAAATACCAAGTCTGTTACTGTGCATGTTTAGGGTTTTGTTGAAGATGAGCAGAGGCATTTTGGCAGTGAGGCACTGGCCTTGGTGACCGCTGGCAGGCAGTCAAGGTGCCCAGGATGGGTAGCTGACAAGGCTTGGGGAAACCAAAATGGCCGGAGCCTGTTCCCTGAGCACCTACAGATAAGCAAAGTGTCTGGGGCCCGGGAGACAGCAACCGCAGAGCTTTAGAGCAGAAGCTGAAAGGACAGCAAGGGTGGCACAAAGCCCCAGAACATACTGCCGGGTGCCCACTGGGCCTTCTAACGCCATTCATTTCAACCTGAATACCTGTGAGAATACTAAAGCCCAGCCAGGGTGTGGCACAGAAAACTGTTCCAGGAATGGATGTCTTCTCCAGAACCCTTCTCCCTCCTCTGGGTCGGTCTACAAGCCCCTCAACAGATGCCAATGGGAGCCCCGCACCAAAGCCCTGGATAGATCCTTCCCTCCCACTTAGACATGACAGGATAGTGTGGACCCAAAAGACTGTTGGGTTCCTAGCCACAGCCACACAGAAAGGTTGGTAGGAGGCTCACATGGGCACAGAAGAGATTCCTCAACGCCATGGGAATTTTATTGGGAAACGTGGTGGGAAGAGGATGGGCTGTGGAGAGCGGAGAGGAAGGCCTTGGAAGGCAGTGGGCTCTAGGAGGCCGAGTCAGAAGCCTCTGAGCTGTCTTTGACATCCGTGCTCTCTGTGGTCTCGCTGACCTCACTGAGGTCCTTGCTGTCACCACCACTATCTTCAGCAGCCAGGCCCTTTTCCTCCCGACAAGCTTCACCCGAACTTGGGAGAGAGTTGCCTTTGGACTCCACCTTGTTCTCAATGGGCCCCAGCACCACGTGCCTGCCCTTCTCCTTCAGCTCCAGCTGCCGTCTCAGCTGCCACCAGCATCCCAGGAAGAAGTAGGAGGAGAAAGACAGGGTCCTAAATTTCCAGAGCTTGTGGGAGCCAAAAGCAGGCAGTTCATAAGACTTGGGCAACTAAGGGAGCTCTGATGGCCTAGTGGCAGGAAGCCGCACTGCAATCCCAGAGGTGTGCAGTTCGAATCCACCAGATGCTCTGCTGGAGAAGAAGGAGCAATCTCCTCCTGTACTAGTCAGATCCGATTTGATGGTACACACACAAAAATAAAATTGCTTAAAAAAAAAAAAAAAGAAAAGACAAGACTTGGGCAACTAAGGAGCAGGGAGCAAGGTAAGACGCAGTGGGTTAGGACAGGGTAACGGAGCAGAGTTAGAAGACCAGGCTGGATCTTGGCTCTGCTATCAGCTTGTTCCAAGGCCTCAACTCTGTAGCTGTTAAAATGAGGTGAACAGGCCTCTCATATGGGAAAGCTATGCCCTTATACTTCCTTATCTTCCTCACCTACGCCCCTCAGGAGCCTTAAGCAGGACCCAGCTGTTCCCAGTTCCATTCTGTCTTAACCCCACGCCTGAAGTGCAGACAGGTTTCCTAACCGAGACTCTTGGATGGACTCTTTGTTTGTCGTCCCCCCCCCCCGATGGACTCTTTGAACTAAAGTCAAGACAGGCACTGTCCCCGTGGGCAGGGCCTTCCCCACTTGCCCACCTACCTTCATGTCCTGCTGCTCATGTCTAGAATTCTTACCTCATCTGCCATCTGAGTGAGGTCTCGCTTCATGGCATACGCATCTTCCCCATCTGCGTAGTATTTAGGCTCCACTTCACTGATCCTGGGATGGAGAAGAAGCAATGCTGGGTGTCAGCGCTCCTCCCCTTTCACAGCATGTGAGTGGGGCAGGGTGTCATTTCCCTCATATTTGAAGGTAGCAAGTCCAGCCCAAGTGCCTTCATTTCATCACGACCTTTTCGACAACACCCGACAGGGGGTAGGTAGGCTGCAGGGCCAGAGCCTTCTCCCCACAAGGCCTGTGACTGCTCAGACAGCGGGGCACTGAGGACACAGGAGCAGCCTCTTGCTGCCCAGTCACGGGGAGCAGTTCCCAGCAGAGGTGCCCCTGCCCAAGACAGAGATCCCTCCTCAAACTCAGCGTAGAAGGCCACAGTGCCTGCCCCGACTGCCCTCCCCTTCCGCCCCTACCATGCATCTGTCACCACTGTGCCGTGGCCTCCACGGGCTCCACTTCGAGAGCCAGGCAGCCAGCACTCCCACATCCCCAAGGCAGGCCCCTAACCCTTATCCTAACCCTCAGCTGATTCTAGATCTACTTACTGGAAGTTGAGCGTGTTGGAATAGAGATGCAGGGCAGCCCGGTTACTGCAGAGGAATAAGGCACTTCTGAGCTACACACCTGGGTGCTAGCCATTCCCCCAGCCCCTTCCCAATAACTGCAAAGTCACACCCCCCCCCACCCCCACCCCCAGCCCTGGCTTCCACCTCTTCCTGACGTGCAGGGAGACGTATTTGGCATTGAAGTTCTCAATCATTGCTCGGGAGGCCTGGTCCATCAGCTTCTGTGCCAGGCCCAGGCGGCGGTGTGAACGCTTCACAGCCTAGTGGCAGAGGGTTTAGCAGAGAGCAGAGGCTGGTGAACCCCCATAACCATGCTTCCACCCAACCAGGGCCTGAGGGCAGGTTACCTTACCAGTGAGGTGATGTGTCCATGTGGTACGTCATCTGGGTCCTCTTCCCTAGAGTGAGAAAAGGCGAGTTCGGGACAGGCAGCCATCACACAGGACTACCCCAAAGGGCCCTGCTGGGGAGGCAGCGTGGGGAGCCTCTCCTGTCAGTGGCATGCTGCACAGTGTGCGTCATCAACACAGAGGCCCTCAGACATGGAGCCCTGAGTGTGTCAAAGGGGGTCTGAACATGTGCAACATGGGTCAAATATCCAAAGTGATGTATCCAGATCAAGCCATAAATTGTAGCAAATGTGGCAAGAAGAGAATAAGAAGTATTAACAAAGTGTGGAGACAGGAGCCCAGTGCATTTCAGTGAACCCCACCACAAAGTACCCGGGCCCTTCCTCTCCCTCTCTCTCTCTCTCCGTGGAGACTCACATTTTAGCCAGCACGTAGCCCACGATCTTGCCATTCTCATCTTCGGCTATGTAGGAGAGCTGGAGCGGAGGAGAAAGCATCAGGAGGCGTCATGGAGCGCTCCGGGCAGCGCCCTATCCTCAAGCACACGGGGCGAGCACTGCCTTAGGGCGCCACTGGCCCGTGTCCGCGTCCCTTGCCCGCCTCGTGCAGCGCCCCCCGGGGCCGGGTGTCCGCGCACCTGGGGCCAGGAGAGGCCGTGGTAGAAGTAGTACTTCATCTGGTAGTTCTCTGGCAGGCAGAGCAGGTTGCAGTGCTGCATGTTCATCAAGTCCTCGGGCTGCGGGGCGGGAGACCTCGGCTGTCAGCGCGCGTCGGGCTGCCCCGCACCCTCCCTCCGGGCTCCGGCACCGTCCACGCGCCACGCACAGGCCTCGCCTCCCCGCCGGGCCGACTGCCTTGGCCTCGCCGCCCCTCCGGTTCGGCCGGGCCCCGGCACGCTGGCCGCCGGTCCGGTCCAGGGCCTTCGCTCCCGGGGCCGCGACATGGCGGTGGCCTGGCCAGGCAGGGGCGGCCGGGGACCCACGGAGCTTGAGCATGCGGCCCCACTCCCATGCGGCCTGACGGATGGGCCCTCACCCTCGCATTGCGGATGTTCATGACGGCGGCGGAGCAGGCGATACCGGTACGACCGGGCGAGAACGGGACCGCGCTCACAGAAACGGCGGCGGAAAGGGCAGCGCGCGTTGGGCAGGCCAGTGGCCGGAAGTGCGCCGAGCCGGGCCCGCCCCCTACCCGCTCGGCCAATGTGCTGGGCAGCCCAGTGCTCGGGGCGGCCGAGTGTGGGGGGCGGGCTGGCGCGGAGCGAGCCAATGGCGGCTCGGGCCCCGGGAGGGGCTACGCGCGAGGCGGGCCAGTGGCCTGCGGGTGCTCGCGGCCGTCGCTCCCGCGAGTCCACGGACGCGCGTGCACGCACGGGTAGAGCAAGCTCAGCTTTATTCGGCGTCTCCGCGGGCGGACGCAGCGCCTGGGGCCTGGGGCGCGGGGCACGGGGCCAGGGCAACGAGCAGGGCGTCCAGCATCTCCTCGCACATGGCCAAGCACCGTGGCACGTGGAAGCAACCTGCGGGCAGAGGCAGTCCCTCTTGCTGTGGACCGTGGAGGCGGAGCCCACCTCTAGCTGACCCACCTCCCTTCAGTCCTTTACCACTAGGCCGCCTGAGCTTCCCAACCTCCCGACTCAACCACTCACCTTTGAAAGGTCCACCCTTGATGGTGAGGGCGACCTTCCCCTCTCGGTTCAGGTAGCCAAACCATTCCCCGTGCTCGGGATCCCTGAACTGGAAAAATGAAAGGGTGACAACCGGCACCCGCGGGTCCCCAGATGCCACGGGAAAAGCCAGGGTGAAGCCAGAATTAGTGATCTCTGGACAAAGGGACTTCTTTTCTAGCAAGGGTCGGGTTGCGTCACTGCCTTGGGTAGGAGCTTGTCAGTAGAAATCCGGTAAGACAGACTGAAAATGACCCTGCTTTGAGGGTGATTTTTTTTACTGTGGTGGTAGTTACCCAGATATATCCGTTACTGTAGCTCACTGAATTGCATATATCGATCCTGGAATTGTACTAAAAACACCTCTCAAACTCACTGCTTTGTATCAGGACTAACTCAGCGCTGACCCTCCAGTGGGTATTTCAGACACTTTTCTCTGCCCTCTATTGGAATAGTACAAGGAATGCTAGAAAAGAATAAACATAGAAGTTGTATTCTCTACAAAGAATACATTGACTCTACAAGCACAGTTTTTGGTCCTGTGTCTTGGGGTGTTTTTTTAAAATTTTATTATTTTTGTGTGTGTGTGTACCATCAAATCGGATCTGAGTGGTACAGGAGGAGATTGTCCCTCCTTCTCCAGCAGGTGGATTCGAACTGCGTACTTCTGGGATTGCAGTGCAGCTTCTTGCCACTAGGCCACCAGAGCTTGTCTGATCCTGTGTTTTGATGTAATTCATTATACTTGGATTCTGATATACTCGCTGAATTGTATGAATGTATTCCCCAGAGGTCCCTAAACACACTGGTAATAATACACTAAAATGTACACTGTCCAATTCCAGTGAGTGTATCAAAATCCAAATATAATTAATATCTATACACAAATCCACCTGGCTCCTACCCTTCGGGAAGACTGTTTTTCCTTCCTCTCCAGCCCACATCCTACAGACAGCACCGGATCCTCTGCTGTCCAACTGATTCCAGTCTCAGCACCGAGTGCAGCAACCAAGGCACCAGGAAACAAACAACATTCAAACACAAGAGGTCTTCTTAGAGTGATGTCTCTGGAGGTCAGTGCATTTTTTGTAACAGGTACAAATACTTCTATATTCTTGTTTTGTTCTAGTTTGATTATCAAGGCCCTTCTGGAACCAACAGAGAATGAAGAGGTTAGTCCTGCTCCCCCAGTGCACACCTACGTTCCCTTGATGCCTTTGAGCTGTGGTGTTAGAGAAAAGCTTTGGATATCCATGGACTGTCAAAAGAACAAACAGATCTGTCTTGAAGACTGTGCAACCAGGGTGCTCCTTAGAGGCAAGGCTGCCAAAGCGTCATCTCATTTACTTTGGGCCTATTCTCAGTAGATACCAATCCTTGGAGAGAGACATCATCATGGAAGGTCAGAGAAAGAAAGGAAGACCCTCAATAAGATAGATGTACACAGTTGCAGTGGGCAGATTTACAACGGGCTCTAGCACATCAGAAGAAGGTACAGGATTCAGCTATGTGGTCCACAGGGTCTCTATGAGTTGGCACCTAACAACAACACCACATCTCAGCATTTGCTTTTTGGATTCTACTGTTCTGTTTGCCAGTGCATAATGATTTACCTGCCAGCTCTAATTTTTTAAATATTGCTCAGTGCTATCTCTGTTACAATGTATTATTTTGTGGAAACTAAAATAAAATAGAGCCTTGCAATATTTGTACTTTGTTAGGACATTTCACATGAAGCCATTTGCCAGTGTTTTGACCCCACCTGGGAAGTATTGATGAGAGAGGACACACCCCTAAGTGCCGCCTTTCGGCAGAATCTTTCCTCATGACCCTTTCTGCCCCACTGGGTGCCACTGAGAGGCCCTCCTCTACCTCCCCCTGCCCCATCTTGTCTCCCTCATCCTTCCTTCCTGGCACACTCAGGTGTGCTCTCTCTCACTCTCGCTCGCTCTCTCTTCTTTTCCTGACACATAAAGCCGCTTCACGGTCCTCTGAAGCTATGGGAAGACAAATTTCATACTAAATATTTGTAATAAACCGAATGCTGCTTCAGGATGTGAGGGAGGTAGATACAAGCTGGAATTCATCCTGAAGCACTAAGGCAATCCTTAAATGCTTACAGGGGTAGGCGGTAGGCGCTAAGGCAAACCCTAAACGTTTACAGGATTCTTGTATTTGCTAATCCCTCCCCCTTGAGTCAAGCATAAGGTTTTCAATAGAAAGAGCATTAGCTTCATTTGCATTGAATTCTCTGTGATTTCCTCCCTGGCAATTTTCAATAAAGGCACAGGGAAGCTGGGCCCAGCACTTCAGTCCTTGCAGAACTGTTTGCCTCCTGCTTTATCTGTTTTCTACATTCTTGGTGTTCTGTCTCATGACTAATACTTGTTAATAGACTTTACTCTCAGTCTGCAACATGAGCTTCCAGCTGCCACCTCTCACTCAGAAGCCCAACTACGCCTTATTCGCATCTCCAAACTAAGGACTGAGAACTTCAGCTCCACTTTCACCTCCCCTGACTTGGGTGCCCAAGGGACAAGTCCAACCTAGCATGAACCACCCCCCACACACACTGAACTGCTGTGACACTCCCCAGATAAAGAGCTGGAAGCAACTCTCGAACCCACCTTCATAGCCACCTCCTGTCCTGGGCTGAACAGAGCCCCCCAAAGTTATGTCCACCCAGGACTTCAGGAAGTGGACTCACTCCAAAATAGAGTCTGTGCAGATGAGTTAGGAATCCTGAGCTAAGCCCTCCACCCAGTGTTCAGTGAGTGTCCTTGTGTGGAGAAGAAAGAAAACACACATTGTTGTCAAGATGGGGGTGGGATGGCAGGTTCCTGTGACATGCCACAAGCTAAGGTAAAGAGAAAAAGATATGGACTTTGACTACCTGCCTTTCCACCTCGGGTACTAGAATCTGGCTCCATATTTCAGTAAGACCCCATGCTATTGGTAATTGAGCTCTGATGCTAGTGATAAGGGGCTGGACTGTCAAGCAAAGGGTTTGGGTTTGAATTCACCAGCTGCTTCAAGGGAGAAAGATGGACATTCTCCTCCTATGTGATTTATAGTCTCTGAAAACCCACTGTAAGCTCCAGCCGGAGTCGGTTCCCATTCGATGTGACACAATAACAACATTAGTTACAACAACTACTACTCTGCTGTTGTATATTTTTCAGTAATAATAATCGCTATTACTGATCTAGTCAAGACCAGCAGTAGAGAGAGGTAGCAGCCGTCAAGAAATCAAAGGATGTGAGAGAACATTGCCCACTTTTGTCCCTCAGAGCCAACAGTGGATTCCACCCCCAGAGGCTCTGAGGAGACACAGATCATACATTTATACTAGAATTGCCTAGGAAGCTTGTTCAAATGCATACCTGGTTCAGTCCACCTGGGAGAGAAATTCAAATTCCCAGCATGTGGCAGCCTCCAAGGTGTTCACCTACCTAAACTTGCCTATCCCCCATCCTCCAGTCCAGCTAATCTCAGGGCTTCTCCCCCTCTCTCTCTCAGAGCTACTGCTGGAACCACCCGAGGCTCCTTACCCATGCTGCCACCAAAGTTCACACACCAACGTTAAGCTACTGCATGCCCATTTGTACCCACTGTACAACTCCTGGCCCCGAGGCTCAAGTGTGTTGGAGATGGTGAGGGGGGCACAAGAGAGCCCAAGTTTCAGGTGTGTTGTTCATGGGGTGCCTGTCCCCCCTTATTGCCAGCACTCTCAGTAGGGCTCCTACTTTGTCAGCCTTTTGCTGTCCCCAGCCTGCAATTCTCTTCCCTCAGACCCTGCCCTACAAGGCTCCTTTTGCCGATTAGACCTCCACACCCTGTTTTCTGGGTGCCCCACCCCACCCCTCAGCCTGCCCTCCTGGCACAAACACTTGGTTTCCACCTTAGGGTCTGTCTGTCCTTCCCCCCACCTCCAGGATGGAGGAAAGGGAGGTAGGACCCTGACCCTCGAGCACAACCAAAGAAGGCCCTCCCATTCCTTGCCTCCTCCCCACCTCCCCAATGCACCTGGCAGAAGGTGTACTCAGCCACCTGGCAGAAGAGGTGCAACAAGGCAGGCTCCCCAGTCTCACTGTAGCCCATGAGGAAGGCGACCATGGCTTCACAGTGCGGCCACCAAAGCTTCATGGCCCACTCCAGCTGGAAGTGAAGCAGATGGGGGGCTTAGACCAAGGCTTCTAATACCAGGGCCTGGACTCCAAACACTGTCATGACCAGGCCGAGGACAGCTGCCCTGCTGCTGAGCACCTGCCACTACCAGGTTCAGCTGCCTCTCAGTCCCACCTGCCAGACTGGCCAAAATGCCACAGCTCCCTGTTGTGTAGGATGCTGGAGTCTGAGGCAATAGAAGTTGTGAACAAGACCATGTTTGGAAAGAAAAGCTTTGCAAATGTAGCTGATAAGTTAAATCAACAGGAGATTGGACATGATATGAAGGACCTCTGGCTCACAGCGACCCTTCTGCAGGTTCCTGAGGCTGGAAGTCTACTGGAGTGATAGCCAGATTTTTGACTGAGGAGCAGCTTTGAATCCCCGACCGACCTTTCTGTTAGCAGCCCAAAACAACACACTATGCCACCTACGCCCCATTACTGGGGTTCTGTGGTCTCAGTCCAATCCCAATGGGGTGCCTTTATAAAAAAAGACAGAGAAGGCCACAAGAAGGTGGACACCAGATGGGTGATGCACGAGCCCCTGTCCGGCAACCAGGAGGCCCTCTCAGGGCCTGGGGCTGCTTCCCCACCTGGGTAGGGCACAGGCCATCAATGTCCTGGAAGGAGAACAGGCCTCCGTGGTCCGGGTCCCAGCCAGAGCGGAAGGGCTGCAGCAGGAACTTGTCAACCACAAGAGTGCGAAGCTTGTTGTCACCTTTGCGGGCAGCATGGCGGAGGAGGAACCAGCCAGCTTCCAGAGCATGCCCTGCAAGTCAAGGCGAGGCAGGGCCAGGTTCCAGGAGCCTCCCTTCCTCCTCCCAGCAGGAGAGCTACTCTGGTCACACACCCCTGTGTACCTGCCCCTGCAGAGAGTGGGCCCTGAAACTGGCCAGGGGTCCTCCCGGTGGCAGCAAACTCTCCCCAGTCCTGCAGGGCCCCTCACCTGGGTTCTGGTGTCTCCCCAAGCAGCCCGCGAGCTCCCTGCCATCCTCGGCCACATTCTCCAGCACAGCTGTCCCATCCCTCTGAGAGTGCAAGCATGGGGGCATTAGCTGGCTTCCAGCCTCACCATGGCGGCCGAGGGCAACGAGGCACAGAAGGCTGGCCTGCCCACCTGGACGTGCTGTAGTATCCTGGCCGCACACCAGTCCCCGAGCTGAGCATATCTGGCGGTCAGCTCCGTGTCCCCTTCTCCCAGCTGCTCCACCAGGCACAGCAGCATCATGGGGATCGCCATAGGCTCGGCACCGGGGTCCCCCAGGAGCCGTGGCCGCCCTAGCCCTGATGGGTCTACCCGCACCCAGTAGACTAGCTGCTCCATCATCTCCACCGCCTCAGTCTGGAGGGGAGAGGAGGGTCAGGCTGCACACGGGGTCATCTGCTCAGAGCCCAGGATTCCACAGGAGGGGCTCAGGGGGAAGGGAGATGATCCTCCATCCCCTCCCTCCCCACTCCCCCCCCCACGATGTCAGGTGTCATTTGCATTCCAGGCAAAGGCCCTGCAGCCCAGCACCTGGTAGTGTGCTTGGCCTGTGACCCTCCAGAGCTCGTTCATGGCCATGGTGTAGAAACATTCGCTGAAGATTGTGCGCTGCACCTTGATGGGGCGGCCATCCCGGGTCAGCACGAAGGCACATTTCTTCTCAGGGGGCGTCACCAGAGCATGGTGCAGCAAAAAGTCGCCTCCTGGGGACAGCAAGAGTGCATCTGAGAAGCGGGGGGAAAGGCAGCCATCCCTGTGCTGCCCCCCTTGCCCTTGTGAGCCTGCCCTTTCGGACCCTCGGGTGGGGCTGGGCACCTGCTTTGGCTGCAGCCAGCAGTTCAGGGCGGCGGAAGCGCTCAATCTTGCGGTACAGGCGACAGTAGGTCCACACCTGGGATGAACAAGAGAGGCCTTCAAGGGGCGCCCAGTGCCAGGACAGGCAGGTAGAACAGTGTGGCGGTGATGGCCTCACCCTGCTGAACATCGCCCCCTACCTGCCTGCCCTGCAGCCACACGTACTTGAGGTCGTCATACACTTTGCCGTCATGGCTCAGGCACGTGAGGAAGCCCCTGTTGGGGACACAAGGCATGAGCCTTAGGATGGAGGCAGCCACAGTCCCCAAAAGCAGAGGAGAGGAGAGAGAGGCTGGGGGAGGCCAGCCCACCCATGTTCCTGGTCATGCGAGTGGTCGGTCCAGAACGCCATCACTCGATCCAGCTCCAGGCCCACACGCTCCTTCCACGTCTTCAGGGTCTCCCGCTCCTGCTCCATGTCCTGGGGGAGAGGAGGACACTAAGCTCACAAGCGCTGAAGCAGGCAGCTCTGGGCCCCGGGCTCCCCTTTCTCCATTCCCACCACTGGCCTGTCTCACTCGGAGACCCTGCTTAGCCCTCCTTGTCTTCCAGGAAGCCAGAAGCTGGGCTGTCCCGTGACTGCCACTCAGCTGACCGGGACTTGCCCCACCCCCTCGCTCCCGGGGGTTCAACAGAAGGGGCGGGACTGGGCGGGGCTCCAGGCTGGGCCCACAGAGCTGGTCCCTTAGGCCTTCGACAGTCTACCTGGTCACTGTTGGCACGTTTCACCCCAGCCACAGCTGGAAGGCCAGGCTACCACTTCTCTGGCCACTCCGACCCTGCTGCATTTACAGATGGCTGCTCTGTCCCCGGCCTTCTCCCGGAGGCCCGACCTGAGGATCTTTCCTCTCAGTGCCTGGCCCAGGGCTCGCAGCTTGCATGCAGGCCCTCCAAGTCACACGGCCATCTTGGGGGTTGCTGGTTACAGGTGGACCCTTCCCGCCCCAAGCCTGACCTCCATCCCCAATCTTAGTCAAGGGGCTCAGGCTGATTACACTGTCCCAGTGAGGGCCTCACATTTGCCCTCTAACCCTTGGCATGTCCGTTACAAGAGTATCACAGGCCACCTGAAGGTCCCTATGCGCAGACTAAAGCCTGGTCTCACCATTCACAACCCATGTCTGGCCAACCTGAACCCAGGGCTCCAGTGGTGAAGTCCCCTGCATCTGGGCACTGCTTGGAGGGCATGGCATGACACATCCATACCTGTCCCCAGGCCACTGTCCTCTGACATCCAAGGCCAAGCTACACCTTCCAAGGGCGAATCCTCCCACAGGTGGTTCCCCTTGGTCTTTGGACGAAGCTGCCACAGAAGGTTTCTCCCTCCTGGGCCGAGGGGCTTGTTGGCCTGTTTTCCCAGGGCTTCAGGCTGCAGCGATTCACTGTGCACATTTTCACAGGAGGTGACTAGAGATACCTCTTCTCCCAGGGCCTGGTGTTCCCACCCACCCTTTCCTCATGGCCTTCATGGGGCCCAGAGAAGACAGCAGACAATGATTTCAAAAAACGTCCTTTAATTGTTCAAAATAGCACAAAACGACATCACACTATGGTAATAATTGAGCCACGGGGATTACTCTACAATAGATGAACAGGTGTACAGCTCCCAGAAACCAGAGAAACCCAAAGGGCGTTCAGGGTGGCAGGGCTGGACAGCGGGACAACAGTGGGACCAGGTGTGTGGGTCCCCAAGTGACCAATGGTTGACATTTCCCACACAAGATATAATACAATGGACTGGCCCTGAGGCTGCAGGCGCTGGCGGGAGGGTGTCCTGTGGGCAGAAGCTGGGGAAGGCTTCCTTACATCATCTGTGTAAGTGGGGAAGGGACTCCCGCAAAAAGCCAGCTCACAAACCACCCCTGGCTGAACCCCAAGTCCCCCTTGGACCTTTGGAGGGCTGCTTAATGCAGGGGCTCTCTTGCCCTTCCTTAAGGTGGGAGACCACACTGGGCTTCCCAGGCGCCTGTACTTTCTGGCTCCCGTCGGTTAGGACTTGGCTGGGGAGGGGCGTCAGAGCAGTGCGTGGAGGGAATGATGAGCTTCCCAGGCTTCCTTCTGGCTCCGGGTGGGCACGTCAAACCACACTCATCTCTTCTAAGTCTGCTGATGCTAGGCCCCAGTGCACCTGGAGCAAGGCCCTATCTGCATGGAGCCCCCTCAGTCCCAGGATCTCCTCGGTCCCACCTCAGAGATCACTGCTAAGGCAGTGCTTAGCCAAGAGGAAAAAAGAAAAGCAAAAAGATACACGTTCTGTACACAGCTAACAACAACAAAAAGACAAAATTCCACACGCTAAGGCTAAAATTACAATAAAAATGTTAACTCCATCAATGTCAACTTAAAAAGTACAACAAACGCAGCAGTGGGTGACATGACCCTGCCCGTTGAGGCTGGGCCACGGCCGCCTGCACACCGCCATGATACGCTGTGCAGCCTGGATGCTAGGCCCCCTTCGTGGGTTTTCTTTCTTCCACGGGAAAGAAGGGAGAGGAGAGCAGAGGAGGGAGTCCAGAAGCTTTCCATAGAGACAGGGCTGAAAAATTGTAGAAAAGGGCTGCTATGCGGCTGAGGACCAAAAACACGAACAAAAAAACGAGAAAGCATAGTGGCGCGCAGAGGCGGTGCAGAGGCGGCCGGGAATCCGGGGGGGCCTCTGCGTCAGACCAGGGCAGGGTTCAGGTTCTGTCAGGTCAGCGGGAGTGGTCTTCATTTTCTTAAAGAGTTTTCATTTCCACCAGCACAGGTGGTAGGAGACAGGCAGGGTCGGTGCCCTAGGATGTTGTTCGCAGGTTCTGCTTAGGATTCCCAAGAAGCTATGGGGTACAGCGAGAGCGGGGGAGGAAGCAGCTGTTCTCCGTGCTCACCACTCTGACCTGCCTTCTGCTTCCTCACTGGCAGCGGGGAAATGTGCTTTCATTAGGTATGTAATTCTTCTTTAAAAACAGACAAGACAAATGAATGATTAAATGAGCACATGAACAAACAAATGGGGCCAGAGAATGAGGTGCCAGCGGGGTGGGGGCAGCCCCGGCAGGTGGTGTTCCTGAAGCGGAGGGGAGAGGTGTGTGGAGAAGAATCCGGCCGCTGGCTGCGTTCCTCACTGCCCGTCTGCCTTCGATTTCTTTGGAGCGGATTTCCTGGGGGATGGAGGGAACAGCTGCAGGACTTGTCCAGCATGGCCCCACACCCAGTTTAGTCCCCACTGTGCCTTTTTCCACTCAGAGCACCAACCACCCTCCACCTCGGAAGGTTTCTGCACGGGGCTTCCTGCTTACATTTCCGGAGAGGACATGGGCCGTTTGCTGGCCGGCTTGGTGCCAGAGCTGTCTTTACTGGTTTCTGTAGAGAGACAGGGCAATAGGTAGGGTCCCCTGGAGGCTATGGACAGACTGGGCTCCAGCCTGTACCAGCAGCACCTGCCCACCAGACACCTTCAAAATATGCCTGGAAAATGGGCCCTGGATCACCCAGCCCCACCTACTTAGTGTGCACCCCACAGGAGGAACGACTGGGGTGGGCATAAAAAAAAAAAAAAAAGTCTAGTCAGGCTAATGACAGAACATTTCAGCAACAAGGAGTCTCAAGGACAATCCTCACCTTGCAACCACCTGACTTGCGTGGCGGGACCGTAGCCCTTCTCGTTGCGAGCAGCAATGCGGAAGATGATGGCGGGCTTGGTGGTGTAGTCGATATGGGCATTGGAGAGGCTGGAGGACTGCACCAGGCAGGAGGGGCTGGGCCCACAGTACACCCGCATGAAGGCCAGCTGTGCTGGGGCCGAGCTCTTGGCCTCGCTGCTGGCCTGTGTGCTCTGAATGGCCAGGTACACTGAGTACTCGATAATCTTGCCCGAGGTCACAGAGGGCGGCTCCCAGGTGAGATGAGCACCATCAGGGCTCTGGAAGCCAAGGGTTCAGGGTCAAGCTCAATGCTCCCCCACCTCTCACAACACAGGTGGGCTGACATTTGTGTTGCAAGTGCCTTCCTGGACCACCTCTGGCTCAACTGGGACCTGTGACTTGCCTCTCAGAGTAGGGCACATTGGGTACCACCCACAAAGACTGTCCAGTGAGGAGGTGGTGGCAGGGGACTTGCCCTTGGTCACCCAGTGGCTGGTGACAGAGCCAAGACAGCCACCCCTTTCTGCCAAAGGTGGCCATTTCATTGAGTCCCACAGCCACTCACTTTGCTGATCTTAATGGCACACGGGGCCCCGGGGAAACCAGGCAGACACGTCTTAAAGGCGGAGATTTCGCTGAAGGGTCCACGGCCACAGGCGTTGAGGCCAGCCACACGGAACTTGTAGGCTGTGCCTGGCTGCAGCTCCTGCTTCTTGAGTTGGGTGTAGTCTGGGACGGTGCCAGAGTCATCCTAGGGTGCGGAATGCAGAGAGCAGGAAGAGAAAAGTGTCACGAGGCGCACCGCCCAGACGGCAGACTGAGGACCGTACAGGCCTGTCCTGTTTCCAGAGGTGGGAGATGACGACAGATCCCACCTCAATCCAAGCTCCCACTTCTCCACTCCCCATCTCTGGAATGGCCTCTGTCGTCCTCACCTATGAACAGGGCCCACCTCACCACAAAGGTACCTGCTTGCAGGCACTTACGTCTGAAGAGGTGGCATCGTCTGGCGGCAGGAAATAATGTGTCACCATCATATTGGTGCCTTTAATGACACCCACATCAAACCACTGGTTCTCTTTCTTCACAGGGGCTTTGCTGGGCGGGGGTGGGAGGTCAGGCTTCTGGAAGACAGCAACGAGGACCAAGGATGAGACGTTGTGCACCTCTCCAGGAAGGAGGTGACACCCCCTCAGCCTATCCCGCCTCACTCACCACCCCAATGGTCTCTATGCCATTGGCGACTTCAGTCAGGGTGGCTGCAGCCTGGAGCTTCGCTGGGCTGGCTACTACAACTGGCTGGGGAGCCACAAATGTGTTAGAAGGGGCCAAACCTGGAGAGAAAGACAGTGCTGGCATCAGTACCAACGTTTCCCCAGTGTCCTTGACTTTCAGTGTGCTCCGGATGGCCAGGCGCTGGCTGTCTTGGACTACAACCTCCTGTCTGTCCAACTGAGCCCTAGATCTCCCAGCACCCTCCCGACATAATCCGATGCTGGGCGCTGCTCACTCTCAGTGGCTGTGGAAGGTAGCAAGGCCACAGTGCTGGGGGCGGCGGCAGTCAGCTCACTGAGGCAGTTGCTTTCGATGGTGGGGTCGTTGAGGCTGTCAGCAGGGGCCAGGGCTTCAGTGGGCAGGTGGTGCTGGGCCTGGGCCTGGGCCTGGGCCTCCTGTAGCTGCTGCTGTTGCACCAGGGCTGCCAGCTCCTGCTGTGTCAGTACAATGGGGATGGTGGTGGGCTGGCCCTCCTGGCCCTCCGCTGACAGGTGGCCCAGCTCTGCCTGGGTCACTGCGGCCGCAGCTTCGGACGTGTCCATTGGCTCCCCGGTGCCTGCTCCAGGGGGAGAACGTCGCTACTCAGGAGGAGTAGAGGGAGGCTCGCCTTCCTCCCCGCCCCAAGCTCTTGGCACACTGTTGCCTGACTGGGCTCCATCTGCACCAGAACGGGCCTGCAGCCTGCCCTGGTCCCTTGTGACTTGTGCCACCCTCATCAGAATCCAATCCCTTGGCTGCCTGCTTGGAGTGCTGAGCAGGGGAGGCTCGGGGATCTTCCAAGGGGCCCATTTCCCCTCTGGAACTCCCATTCAGCTTTGTGCAAAGGAGACCCAGCAAGCCGAGCTCTCTTGCAGCCTGGCCCAGGCACCTACCCATGACAGCCTGCTGGGCAGCCTGCAGTACTGCCTGGATGGCCAGGGCCTGGGCTTCCTCCGTGGCCGCAGCCTGGGCAGCTGCTTCGGCTGCAGCAGTCACTGCTAGCTCCTCAGGTGTGAGCCCTGTCACCATGAGGGTGGTGGTGCCTGCCTGGGCCTCAGCCATCAGCTCCTGGGGCAGTGCCAACTGGTCTACCTCAGACTGTGCGGGCTGGGGAGGCTGGACCACCACGGTGGCCACCACCGCGGAGGTGGCAGGCTCCTGGCCCGAAGATGGGTCCCCTGTACTGCTCAAGTCCACGGCGGCCTGGTGCTCAGCGCCCTGGGCGGCCGCCAGGGTGTCGGCGGGCTCCCCCAGCAGGGGCGTGGAAGCTGGCTGCAGGAGCTGCCGCGGAGGGAGCTGCTGGCGAGGCCCGGGGGAAACCTGGAGGTCCTCTGGGGGCTGCAGGATGTCAACAGCAGAGAAGGGCATGTCAGAAGTTTCTGTGTTGGCTATGGTCACCGTTATCGTGGCTGGGATGGGGACTTCGGTGGTCAGAGCCCCAGGGGTAGCCTCAGTCATTGATGAGATCTTCTAGAAAGGGAGAGAAGTCCCTGTCAGAGGGAAGGAGGGCACCAGAGCACGAGCAGGACAGCCTCATGCTCTCCCCCAGGCCCTGCTCTTAAGGGGTCCAAGTGACACTTATTACGTGAAGAGGAAGCCAGCATTGCCTGGAGCAGAGGGGAGGGAAAAAAACCAAGAGGACAAACTTTGAACCTCAGTGTGGACATCTAAAGGGGCTTTGAGGACAATCTTGGGCATGGCCACAGTCATATGAGCTACTCCAGAAAAGAGCGCTCCACACACAGAGGCCTAACCTTCTGGCGTCAGCCCAACCCTGTACACAAGGTTGCCCTTTTATGGTCTGGAAAAGGCACAGGGGAACTGTACCATGTGCAGTACAAGAGTGACCTCTGGTGCCCACTTCTGGAATAGCCGCATACCCGGTTCTGGAGGGCCAAGCAGGCAGAGAGAGAGAGGGAGGGCAGAGCAGACCCCCAGGGGAAGCTCTCACCGGTACGGAGGGACCTGGAACTGGTGTGGATTGAGTGACGGTGGTCACTGCTCGAGTCAGTGTGGAGGCCACGGAGGTTGTGACTGCACTCTCGCCCTGGGAGCTTTCCATCTCACCCTGATCGCTGGCAGCTGGTGGGGGGTCTGCGAGGGCCAAGTGAAGCTGCTCAGCAGGGGTCCCGAGTCCCAGCTCCCCCCTCCCCTGCTGTGACTGGTGTGTGCCTCAGCTGGAGCCCTGGGAGCACTCACCCTGGTTGGAGCTCATGTTGGAGGTGACAGTGGTGGCTGTGTGCGTAGTGCCCGTCTCGTGGGTCTCACATGGTGGGTTGGAGCAGACCCGTTGGGTTGGGAAGGGACCCAGCAGTGTGGGGCTGGCCTGAGGAGCCACTGGGGCTGGTGCTGCCCCTGGATCCAAGCCAGCCTCCAGGGCCTGGTGGGCAGCACTGTCGTCAGGGAGCAGGGAGCCGATGCTGACGGTCATGGTGGTGCCCGTGGAGGTGGTCTGGTGGGTCTCACAAGGGCCATCGGCAGGCGCCTGCTGCTGGCCACCGTCGGGCTGCCCGGAGGCACCGGTGGCGGTGGCGGTGGTGGCCGTGTGTGTGGTACCTGTCTCGTGGGTCTCACAGGGAGGATTGGTGCACACTCGCTGGACCCTGCCTGCATTGGAGGTGGTGGCTGTGCTGGTCGTCCCAGTCTCGTGGGTCTCACACGGGGGGTTAGAGCAAACCTGGCTTAGGGGGGCTATGGGGGGGCCCAGCAGTGCCTCCAGGGCGGCCACAGTCATGATGGTGCCCGTCGAGCTGCTCTGGCAGCTGTCACACACAGGCCTGGGGGCGTACTGGGCCTCCCTGGCGCCCATCATGGAGCGGGCTGTGGTGGGCGTGTTGGTCGTATGGGTGTGCTGGGGCTCCAGGTGCCGTCCCCCAGGCACCAGCTGGCCTAAGCCTGCTACAAGGCTGTCCTTGCTGCTGGCGCCGCCGGGTCTACTGCCACCAGCCTCCAGCACCAGGCTGGGCCCTGGGAGGGGTGTCACACACGGTGCTCTGGTGGCCAGCACAGTCATGGTGGTGTGGGTGGAGCTGGTCTGGCAGAGGGGTTTGAGTGCGCTTGGGGCTCCCTCGGCCGACCCGGTGCCCACACCCACCTGTCCAGCAGCAGGGGTGCTGGCAGCACAGGTGGGCTGGGCCCCTCGCTGCTGGTTGGCAGCTGCTGACTGTCCAGAGCCCATCCTGGCCACGGCAGTGGTGGCGGTGCTGGTGGTGCCCGTCTCATGGGTCTCGCATGGGGGGTTGGCGCATATGGGCTGGCCAGCCATGTGGGACGTGGCGGTGGTGGCCGTGTTGGTGGTGCCCGTCTCATGGGTCTCGCATGGGGGGTTAGTGCATATGGGGGGCCCTGTACCACGTGGAGGTGCTGACAGGTTGGCACTGACCACTGTGGGTGTGTTGGTGGTGCCCGTCTCGTGGGTCTCACACGGGGGGTTGGTGCACACTCGGACTACGCTGCCATTCTGCTGCCCCACTGTGGAGGCTACGAGTGACTCCTGCCTGTCACAAACGAACTGGACCTGGGGCGGCTGGGTGTGTCCCCCAAGATTAGCCACAACTGTGGTGGTGGCCGTGTTGGTGGTGCCCGTCTCGTGGGTCTCGCAGGGAGGGTTGGAGCACACCAGTGTCACGGTACCAGGTTGGACGTCACCCTGGCCCGAGTCAGCAATTGTCACAGTGGCTGTGGGCTGCTCAGTTGTTGGTGAGGCCAGAATGGACACAGGGAGGTCATGCACTGGCTGGGCCTCGACCCCACTGGGTGCTGTGATCAGAGTTACCTGGGTAGGCTGGGAGACAGGCTAGAGGAGACACAGGCCAAAACACATCAGTGACCCCCCCCTGTCCGGCCTCAATCCCCAAAGCCACTTCCCCAGGGGGTATACAGTCCCCTCTACGAAGCAGGGGAGGGGGGAGAAAGGAGCTCAGCTAGGAAGCCAATCTGCCACCTCCACCAGGGTCGCAGTGTTCTGTCACTGACCCATGACAATGGCAAGACCAAGTCTACAAGGGGCGCACGGGAGAAAACCCTAACTCTGTTCTCAGGTCTGTCCATTTGGGCCCCAGCCTCCACAGCCCACACCTACCTGCATGGTGATTGTGGGTGTGGTGAGCCCACTGGCAGCGGTCAGTGTGGTCTGAGCAGCTGAGACAGTGATGGCCGTGGGGTTGATCACCTGGCTTGAGAGGGTGGCAATGGTTCCCAAGGTGGTGATAGGGGTGGCCAGGGAGGCACTGGTGCTATGTCCGCCAGCACCAGCAAGACTGGTAGAGACAGTGCCAGTCATAGTGCCAAGGGTGGTGACACCTACAGGGCACAAAGGAGGCGGGGCGGGATAACAGCTGGTGCCACATCCCCAGAAGCTTCTGACCCAATGTTGCTATGTATGGAGCTTGGACCCTATATGATGGGCAAGGCCAGAGGATCCTGGGAGTCCTCTGAGGACCTAATAACTCAGAAATCCACAGCACTGGAATGGAAGGCTGTGGGCGGACCCCCGTGGCCTCCCTCACCTTAACCACAGAGATGGGGACCTCAGTCACTGCTGAGGACCATGCCAGCAGGCGACATACCTGTGGTGCCCTTCACAACCAATGTGGTCACAGCTGGCTTGACGGCGGAGACAGTGACTGGGGTGACCAATCGAACGCCACCCATGGGCACAGTACGGAGGATGGTGCCTGGTTGTCCGGGGGCCCCCTTCAGCACCACCTGGACACCGGAAGACCCACCAAAGTCACTCAAAGGCTAGCTGGGCCTGTGCCGTCCCTCCCAGGCCCCTCTCGAGGCCATACGTGGCAGGTGGGATAGGGGAGGGTCAATTGGAGGTCTGCTTGGGGTGGGGGCACAGAAGTGCAACAGGCTGACCAGAGCACAGATGTGCCTCACCTGGGTCACTCCTTGCTGCCCATGGCCGGTGGCAATCTTGGGCACAGCAGTGATGATCTTGGCGGGAGCCCCGGTCCCAGAAGTCATAACTTTGGTGGTTATGATGGTGATAGGAGACTTGATTCCAGGACTGCTGGTCACACCTGGTGGGCAGTGCAGGAGTAGCATGTCCTCAAGCTGCCTCCTGCTGCCACCACAACTCACCTCCCACCTTGGTCCAGACCCCTTGTCAGATGCACACGACAGCTTCCTGTGCCCTTGACCGTCTGCATGTCTGGTCTGCAATGCTACCCCAGCTGCTCTCAGCTGGACTGCCAGCTACACCTCTGCTAGCTCCTACGGATGCTCAGAAAAAGCCTAATAGTGAGCGGAAGCTGGCCGCAGAGCACACACACGGATCGCGGCTGCCACCAGCTTAGTCAGCCTCAAACTAGGTTCCCTGAGCCCACGATGGCAGGGGAGTTTGTGACATAGGGTTCAGGCCACCAGAACCCTACCTGTAGCGCCCGCCTGAGTGATGATGGCTGACATGGGGATGGTCTTAATGATGGTGGTGGTGCCAGGCTTGGTAGTGCTGGGGGAGACACTGCTGATGCCCAGGATAGTTGGCTTGCTTCCCGCCCCACTGGCCTGTGTGGTCGTAATGATGGTTGTGGGCTTGCCGTCTGCTGATGTCACCAGCTTCAAGATGGTCCCGGCTGGCAGGGGGCCTTTGGTCTGGGGAAGCAGGATGGAGAATGAGTCAGCAGGCCGAGGAGCTGGTGGCCCAGGCTGAAGACACTGCAAGCTGAAGCCAGTGCTGGGACAACACAGCCTCAGCAGCCTGAGCGTGGCTTGTCCTCTGCCTGGTGCCCACTCCCACCTGGATGATCTGTGTCACTGGGCCCGTAGAAGCCTGGCCTGTGACTGCAGAAGTCTGAACGGGCTTGGTCTGGACCACTGACATCACTTTGCCAAGATTAGAAATCTAAAAAAAAAAAAAAAATAGAGAAGAAACTGACAGAAGAAGCAGGAGTTGGTCAGGTAAGGAACGGACAGCCCAGGTAGCTGTGCAGCAGGCCACTAGGATGGGCCACAGTGTGGCTGCTATTAAACCAAGCTCAACCAACCGGTGGCCAGCGAGCCACACTCACCAGAGCACTGCCTCCGGGGACGGAGATGGGACTCTTCACCAGGGTGATGGTCTTGGTGACGCCGCCCACCACTGTGGTCACCACCTGGGCTTGCTGGGCCACAGTCACTGTGCCAGATTTGTGCACAGTAATGATGGGGCGTGTGGAAGTGTTGGCAGCCGAGGACACAGATGTCCCCACCTGTGCGGCAGCCGTCTTCAACATGCGAGTGGCAGGGTTGCTCACCTAGGGGGCGGGGACAGAGGCTGAGGTGGGAGGGGGAAGGAGCCCCCAGACATTCTGCTCACACCATGTTCGCCCCTGTTCCCCACAGGTTCAGCTTAGCCCAGGTCCCTTTCTCCTTCCAATACTGAGAGGAACTGGACGACCAGCAGTGCTCAAGAGCGAGGTGGCTGGCTGAGCAGTGGCCCCAGAAGCCCCCCAAAAACGCTTACCATGACAGGTGAGGAGGCCACTTTCACCGTGGCTGGGAGGGTGGTGGTGCCAGGGGTCACAGCCACAGTTTTGACAATGGTGGTGCCTGCCGGGACGCTGAGCACAGTGGGTGCGGAGGATGGGGGAATCTTCTGGGTAGCAGCAGCTGCCGCAGCCAGCGCTGCCATTCCACTCATCTGCGGGTTGCTGCCAATCACCTGTGAGGGGAAAGCAGGGACTATGAGGCTCGTGGTGGAGACACAGGGGCACAGCCAATTGGCATGCCCTCTACCTAACCTGTAGACCCCACTAAGTTGTGCAGTCTATGCTCATGGCCCCAACCCCGGAGGGCTCTTACCACAGACCAGACACAGGAACCCCAACGCCTGGAGTTGGCCAGAAACTTGGGACAGAGCTTACAGATCACGGGCAGACAAAGCTCTTTCCTCATAGGCCTGGCTGAAACCTTTCACTAAGCCCCGCCTGCTCCCACCGCAGGCCTGCAGCTCACCGTCCCCTGTGCGCTCTGAGTGGGCACGACCATTCGAACACCCGCAGGCAGGGAGGTCACACTGACGGGGGCTTTCCCAGCCTGGCTGGCAGGTCTCATAGTGACCAGTGGGGTTCCTGTGGTGGCCTGAGGCCCAGTTACTTTGAGAACAGCAGGGACACCTGGCAAGAGAAGAGGGCAGGCGTCAGGAGCAGCAGAGCCTAGGGGACACAGGGGTGGCAAGTCCCCTTTGGCCCAGCGCTGGATGACGACTCCCTCTGACCAGCCTATGCGCCTTGCTGTCTGCTGTGCTTTCTGACCAATTCTTCTCGGTGCCCTCAGAGGACTGCTTCGCCACAAGCAGGGCCAAGCTCTCCTCTCTGGAGTACCAAAGCAGCCCTGCAGGCAGCCCCACCCAGCACCCCAGGTGCCAGCTCACCTTGAGTTCTAGCTGCAGTGGGCACAGAGATAGAGCTGCCAGGCACTGTCGGCAAGACCTGGATGGTGGTGGTGGTGGTGGTGGTGGGAGGCGCAGCGGCAGCCTGGGGCAGCAGCGTGATGCCCACCTGGGTCAGCGGCTGCACAGGCGGGGCCGCTGCTGCGGGTGCAGGGCTTTTGGGAGGGTTGGCAGGCACTGATGGGACTGGATTTGGGGTGGGAGAGGTGGCAGTCGCAGCAGTGGCAGGAATGTCGTATTTCTGAAGCTGCAGAAGGTAACTGTCTGCTGTGGCCACTGGCCCCCAGCTCACTTCCAAAGAAGTGGTATTGGCGCGTACCAGCTGGACTCGGGACGGGGGTGGCGGCTTTTCTGTAGGAAAATACAGCTGGTTAGCAAAAGAAACGGGAGGCTGCCTGGCTGGGGTTCTTCACAGCAGAGGACTCACCTGTTTCTAGGTACCAGAGATCCTTGCAGCACACCTGGTTGTTCCAGGCCTTTCGATAGCCATCTCGCCCACTCCAGATGTACAACCGAGTATTGATGGCCACTGCACAGTGTCCAGCTCGAGCTCGCGGAATATTGTCCTCCAGGGTGTCCATCAGGATCGTCTCCCAGGCCATGGTGTCTGCAAGAGGGCAGAGAAGTGGTCACCAAGGAGAAAGGTATAGGTCCAGGGCTCTGAAGGGGCCTTTAGCTTTCTGCAGTCAGCAACAGGGAATTAAAAGCACAACTCCTAAGAAACTACTAACTCCCAAAGAGCAAAAAGAACTATAAAGAACAAAATGTAAAGCATGAATGACCAGTTGGGAAAGCCACTGAAAGCCAAATGGACAAAAGTCCAACTGGAAATGGAATGGACAGCATGAACTGGTCGGAGATGTTGCTCAAAGGAGTCCATTCCTCGGTGAGCGGGGTCAGCATAGAGCTCAAAGGCTGGCAGGGCCACGTGACATCTGCTGGAGCTCCGCTCCTGGTAGCCCTGTGCCTCCACAGAGACGACACTGCGGAGCTGGGGACGCAGGTGAGAGGAGCATCCTGCATACTGTCATTGGTTAACAACAAAGAGGAGCTAGCCAATACTGTCAGAAGAAGGGAGGGGACAAGAGACACCACGGCCTCAGAGAAGCGTTAAGAGGTGGGCCATGGGACACGGTTCTTTTGGTCCTTGCATGCTACCCTGCAAGTGAAGAATCTATTCATAAAACAGTGTGTCGCAAAAAAGCCCCCAACAAAAACAAAACAGTGTGTGGCATCCTTTTGCTGCTCCAATTCCCAGAGTCTAACAGGAGTCCAGTTACAGCCCACTGAGCAGAGATCCTCCCTACGGCCCCAAGAACCCGCCAGGTGCGAGGCAGCCATACCCAGGTTGAGACAAGCCAGTGTGTTGGTACACTTCCACTCCTTCTCGTGTGTGGCAACCTTGACATCATCCATGACGAGAGGCACCCAACCACCAAACACGTACATTCTGGAAGGGGTGAGGGAACACAGGACAGGACTGGCAGAGTGCTAAACTAGAGGCCGCTTCTCAGGCTTGCCCAGGGGGCCCCCAGGTCCCAGCCCTTGAGCAGCTCAGGTCAGGACCCATTTTTCACATAGAAACTCAGCTGCTAACAGCCTCCAGCCTTTGGACAAACCTGGCCTTCTGCTTGAGGCCAGGAGACCCCTACTCCCCAACTCTGTCGTCTTTTTTTAGCACTCTCACTCCCAAAAATTGCCAATGAAATGAGGAGACAGGGCAGCAGTGCCCCAGGTCCTCCAGAAAAAAGGGCTTCTTGGGCCTTGGCAACACCCTGTGAGCTCTTTGGGGACAGGGCAGCAAAGGCAAGCAGACACAGGTACTCACTTATTTCCTATGGTGGTGGCTGAGTGGAGGCTCCGAGGCAGTGGTGCCACGCCACTGAGGCTGGGTTTGTTCCACGTCAGTGTCTCTGTACAGACCGAGAAAAAGGAAGCCATCACCACCTGGAGCTGACATGGTGCTGACCACAGGAGGCCCTGGCCTCCCCTACAGCTCCCCTCGCTGCAGTCACCAAGTTACTGCAGCCCCTAAACTTTGCCACCTTCCTAGGCGCATTATTTCCTCCAATATTTTTGAAGTCCCACAAGGAGCCCGACAGTGCCTTCAATGCTGGCTCCCAGTGGTGGAAAACAAGCTCCGGAAATCATCCTAGGGATGCACCAGCTAGTGCTCCCCTTACAGCTCAGCTTTCTTAAAAGCAATGCTTACATCCAGGACAAAGGTTATAGTATGTTTTATTAGAGGTTAATCTAGGAGTCATCTCTCACCAGGACAGCAGGGAGAGTGGAATGGGACACTCCATTTCCCAGCGACCCTACCTCACCTTGATGGTGCCCCGAGTACCACCAGCTTTCAAGCAGCCTAGCTTGCTGCCCTCAGCAACATGTGCTGTACATCTTCTCCTCTACATGTGTGGCTACAGTGTGAGAATGAGTTGTCTTCCTCGCATTAAAAAGGAAGGATCAGTATAAGGTCTACTTGGTGTCAATCTGCTTTGAAATATAGAAGATTAAACAAGCGAGCTGGGAAAGGGCTAAGAGAGATGCCAAGATACATGGGGATCTGCAGAGCCAACAGGGAAGCTCTTCCACCTAGAGGCAGTGTTCTGAAGTCCAGCCTTCCACAGGGTGAGGAAATAAATATGTTAAAGTTATCTACTTGCAGTATTTCTGCTACAGAAACATCAGATAATGAAGACAGTTTAGTGCTGTGGAGTTGTTGTGACGTGGCATTGACTTGATTACGACCCATAGTGAGCCAATGAACAACAGACCTGAACCCTCACACTTCCTGACACACTAGAGTCCACTGCAGAAGTCACCCTGTCAGTCCATGTGGTTGAGGATCTTCTCTTTTGCCAACCCTCCACCTTTCCCAGCATCATATCCCTCTCCAAGGAACAGCCAGTGGATTGGAAGAGATCCGTATTTGTTCCCGTTCCCAAGAAAGGCAATCCAACAGTGTGAAAATTATCGGACAGTATCATTATTAACCACATGCAAGCAAAATCCCGCTCAAGATCATTCAAAAAAACGGCTAGAATAGTACAAAGATAGGGAACTGCCAGAAGTTCAAGCAGGATTTAGAAGAGACTGTGGCACCAGGGATATCATTGCTGATGTCAAATGGATCATGGCTGAAAGCAGAGAATAGCAGAAGACCATCTATTTGCGCTTTACTGACTACGCAAAGTCACGACTTTGTGGATCATAACAAGCTGTGGCCGACATTGACAGGACTGGGAATTCCAGAGCACCTGGTTATGCTCATGTGGGACCTGGACCTAGGTTGGGCGGACAGAGTGGGAGAACACTGCACGGTTTAAAATAAAGGAAGGTGAGCATCGGGGAGGTATTCTCTCCGCACACCTGTTCAATCTGTATTTTGAGAAAATGATTCAAGAGGCTGGACTCTGAAGAACGTACTATCAAGATCGGAGGGAGGGAGACTCATCAACTTACACTATGGCACAACCCTGCTTGCTGCAAGTGAGAAGGACTTGAAGCACTTCTTGCACCAAATCAAAGAGTACAGCCGTCAATATGGATTGCATCTCATCGTCAACAAATTCCTACCACTGGAAGTAGGGTACTTAACAGGCAGCTAAAATGTGGATGCAGTTTAGGAATTGGCTAACAGGGTTACAAAGTGCACTAAAGCAGGTCTATACTGCCTTGTTGGTGGAATAAGAGACATCAGAGGCGATTTTGGTAAAGGTGCACCCTCTGCGCCTCCACCAAAATGTGAACGTTAAATGTGCCTCTAGTGAGACCTTAATGCGACTCAACAAGGAAGGGTGATGTTTTTCACGCAAAGAACTTGTCTTAGTTACGTTTAACTATCTGGTGGCAAGTAGAACATGTACATGATGAGCTTGGATATTTGCCTGACAGGACTTCTAAGAAAAATCTTAAGGGCACTGGGTGGTTTTCTCCTTGCCACTTACAATAAAATTTAATCGAAAAAAAAAAAAAAATAAAAATCAACCCAACAAAAAGAGATTAATTTAAAAATACACTATGCAAAATGGAAACAGCACGTAAGGGGCTTGAAAAACTCTCTCATACAAACTAAGGATGTGAGCCCCAGAATGTTCCCCAATTGCACGGCTGTACTATCTTTTGTTAAAGAGAGTAAGCCCATGAACTGATGGGATCTATCCAACCACCCCCTCAGCTCAGAGTGAAGGCGACAGAGAAAGAATGAAAGAAAAGCAGCTGTCTGACTCTTGGAATTCTCCAGGCAGGAAACAGGCTAAATGAACTACATCTGTTGTCCCACAATAAAAGGACCGTCTCTGGGTCAGCTCCAAGCCCAGAACTACTGGAAGGAGTATAAGCAGCAGAGCAGTGTCAAAGGTGAGGTCGCATTCTCCTACAGCTCCAAAGGCCAGACCACATGCTCCTGTTATTATGGCTCTTAGGTGACTTCACAGCAACCACACATACAACAAGAACAGCAGCAGCCCCGCCCATTCTGTACCACCTCGCAATGTCAGCTCTGCTTAAGCCCACAGCTGCAATCACTGTGTCAATCCATCTCCTTGAGGGCTGTCTTCTCCTTCACTGATCCTCCACTTTGCCAAGCATGACATCCATTTCCAGGGACTGTTCTCTCTCCATAATGTGCCCACAAAGTTCCATCGCTCTATCTCTAAGAGGACAGGGCTGTGACGTCCAAAGGGATTTCATGGCCCAATGGGGTAGGGCAGCCACTTGGGACCATTCAATCAAGGGAGTTCCAGTGTGTCTAGAGGGCAGAGTCGAAGCCAGCCCCCATCCCAAAATCTAGATGGTCTCAGAGAAGAGAGGATATTTTCAGAAGCCAATGTGAATTATTCCACTGCATTTGGGACTTGCTTGGGGCCCATTACCCTTTCTCACACTCCAATGCCTCCTGATTGATGGAAGTGTTTACCCTGAACCTGTCCCACCACTGGGTACTATAAGCAGATAGATTTCAGATTTCACACATGAAGAAAAATTTTGCTCCAGGATGGCATATACACCCAGAACCTTGTTTCACAAAATGAAATTTTGGACTTGGAGGGGATTTTAACTTCTCGAATGATGGGATGGAGTAAATGTTTTGCACGTAGCAAGGACATAAATTTTTAAGAGGTAACGGAGGGGGAGCATTATGGGTTCAATTATGTCCTCCAAGAATCTTTGCTGCAAATCCTAATCTCTGTGCCTGTAGCCACAATCCCATTGGGGAATGGGATGTCTGTGTTATGTTAATAATAAGAGGTTAATGTAGGGTGTGTTTTGTGTCAATTTCTTTTGAGATCTAAGAGACTGAGCAAATTGGGAGAGAAAAATACCAAGATGAGTGGAGATCTCTAGGGAACCAGGAAACAGAAGCTGAAAAACACAAGGATCTTCCTCCACAGGCAGGAGAAAACCTCCCCACCCCCCACAACCCCCACCCCCCAGGTCCAGACTCTGGAACTCTAGCTTCCTCAACGGTGAAAGACTCCGCATCTGCTTGTACGGTCTGTGGTAGGAGCATTTGATAAGGCAGGAGACTGTGACACCAACACCCAATCCAGCTTACCAATATCTAGGGTCCAGAGGTCCCCCAGCCTGCAGCCACTCATCCCTCCATAGATTACCAGCTTGGATTTCTTATTGTCTTTTTCAGTGTAGACCACAGCAGTATGTGACTCACGGGGTGGGGGCAAGACCCCGTAAGTGATGGGGATGTCCCAGGCTACCACTCCAGAGCCAGGTCGCAATTCCAGGATATATAAATCATTCAGGTACCTGACAAAAACAAACCAGTCATGGCAAACCGCCCTCCACTCATGAGCACTCAGCAAACAGGGTTATCAGTTTCTCCAGAAAGGCCAGAAGGCCAGGCCATGACAGTGTCAAGTTCTCCTTCCCTCAAGAAAGGGGCTTTTAGAAGTCCAGGACAGGACATCCTGAGTCCAAAAGGATAGTGAGGTTTGGGTTCACACATGTGTCGATGGGCTGCCTGGACACCATACCAGGGCCTCTCCAGAGCATGAGGATTGGCCAAGTGCCTTGGAAAATTCCAGTCACTAAACTCACAGGCACTAAGGTGGGAAAGGAAAACAATTTGCTAACAGGGCTCTGAAGAAGACAGAGCACCCTATGCCCAAGTGTGCTTCTCTGCAGGCAGCCTGCACCTAGTTCATGTCTCTCGTTCTAAAACGGAGCCAGTGATGCTGATCCACAATGTGAAAGGGACTTGGGCAAGACAAGGCTGGCTATGGCCCAGCCAGAGTTCCATACCACTCACACATGCGACTTACAAGAAAAGGGGAGCCTCACCTTGGAATGTTGTTCTTAGGGTCCTCACTGTCATTGGCCAACCCTCCAAATAGGTAGCACTTGTTGCCCACGAGAGAGAAGCTGTGACCAAGTCGAGGACATGGAGGGGGTCCATTTTTGGGTGTCTTTGCTTTGAGCCTCTTCCACTCCCACCGACTGGCCTGTAAAAAGAAGACTCATTGGTTGAGGCCGGAGCCAAGCAGGCTGCTGCTGCTACGGGGTCCCATTACCTGGTGGCATGCGGAGAGGGCCCCACCCTGAGGCTGAGAGGGTTCCTGGCCGCCTGTACTAGCTGCCAGAATTCTAAGTGGCCATGGCCCAAACCCCTCCTTGCTTGTATTTCAAGGCGCAGGCCACTGGAAGTAACACTTAGAAGGGTCATTGGTGCCAAGGCCTATGGGTGTGTGAAGATGTGCCCACCCCACCCAGATGTGAAGGATGGGCCAGGTGCCAGGGTCTCTAAAGTCAGAGCTTACCTGGAGTTCATAGAGGTCATTGCTGTATTTCCCATACTCCACCATTCCACCAAACACCAGTAAGCGGGTCCCATCGCACACAAAGCCATAGGCTGCACACCCAGGGGGAATGTCCCCTCTCACCGCTGGGATGAACCACTGGTTGGTTGCTAGGAAAGAAGAAGCAGCAAGTCAAGACACAAGAGTTCCTAGGAGGCAGAGAGTGGCTCCTATGAAGCCCATGCCTCATGTGCTTACCTAGCCAGCCCCTGAACTCTGAAGGGGGGGGGGGGGTCAAGAGACAGGACCCTTGCTTCCAAAGGTGTAATACCACCTTGGACTTGGCTACCCCACACAGCCTTCATGAACCTGTTCCTTGTCAAGGACACGTGAGTAGGCAGGAAGGCATGGCCCAAATGGACATATGTGCTCTGACAAGGTGCCCACTACTTCATTCTCAGCAACTCAATGCATCGTCAAGCAGTCAACTCTGCAACCTCATGGGCTCTGCTCAGCCAGGGGCCTGCAGCTGGGTGCCAATGTGCTTTCCTTCCGCCAGGTGGCGCTGAGAGAGGGACCTCAGTCCTTGAGGTGGGAAGACTCAATCTGTGCTCTAACCTCACAGGGCTGCAGTTTCCTAGGTGATGGGCCACAGCTCAGTGGCAATGCCACCCCTCCTCCGCTCATCCCCACGCCTCTGCCACTTGAGAACAGCTTGCAAGTTGCAAGTTAGAGAGGTGGTGGCTGCAGCAGTAGAAGCAGCAGCATGCGCTTCCGTGCTGGCCTCTCGAACCCCCTCACCTCCAGCTGAGGTGGGATGGGGAGACCACAAAGAGGAGGGGAAACCAGATGCCAACCGTCTCTTCACAAAGCACAGACAGGAAGAACACAGGGCTCCCCACTTCTATCAGGCGCCTTCTGGCTTGGTTGCCCTGGGGGAGAGTACCCTGGTCTTGAGCCACCATGCCTCAACATCCAATTTCTTGGGCCACTCCCTGGAGGACAGTCTGTCACCCCCCAGACTCCTGTAAACCCAAAACTGGTGGCTGTAGGCAAGTCTCATCCCATGGCCTTTGGTTATGGGATGGCTCTGAGCTCTGAAGAGGTCCCACATGCCTCCCCCTCAGGAGGCCAGACCTTGTACCCCAACTTTCGCATTCTGAGCTGGGACATCCATTTGAAGGCAAGCTTCAAACATACCCCCGTATCCCCAAGGCCAGGGGTACTCAGGCAGCCTTTCACAGGACATGGCCTTCACTGTAGGGAAGAAGGTGACCACAGTGACGACCATGTCCCCTACAGAGTTCCCTCCCCACGGCCCAACATAGAATGTGGCTTAAAGCTGGACTCCTGTCCATGGGGAGGGCAGCAGCTGCTCCCTCCCGAGGCTCCACAGCATGTTGGCCACTCAGCTGAGTCACCTGTCCTCCTCACCTCTACCATTTCCTAAAGCAGCAGCGGGGTACACACAGGTGTGCCCAAGAGCCCAGCTCTTAGCCTCATCCCCATTCTAGCACTCAAACAAGCCAAGAAAAGCAACATCATGCCAAGATGGGCCAAATCAAACCTGCCCAAAGGGAGAGCCAGCTCTGACAACCCCTGGAAGGAGCCGTTTCTGAGGGTCAAGCTAAAAACCAGAAAGAGAAGAACAGTGCCCAGGAGGGGGCGCCCCTCCTGAGACCATCGAGGAAACAGACCAGGTGCCATAAGTAGGGTCAGGAATGTTGGCTGCACTAGAACAAACATCAATTATCGGATGGGAAGACTGCGTGCCTCCATCCCTCTCTGTCCACAGACCCCAGGCCTGTCCCCTGAAATGTGCCTGAGAAGCCCTTCCCCGTGACATTCTTAGATGAGGCAGCTGTTGTCAGCCCATGGTGCCAGGTATCAGATGACCCAATCCCAGGGTCCCTCTCTCTAAACACGCTCTGGCTTGTCACTGGTTTCCGGGCGGGCCTGCAGCTTGGGCAAGGGCCCTCGTGTCTCAGCAGGCGGAAATGCCAGCTACCTCTACCCCTCTGCGCTTTGCAAAACTGCCACCCATCCTCTTTTAACACTGGAGGGTGGGTGGCAGTCAGGTGACACAGGCACCCGGACTGTCTTCCGTTCTGTTCACTTTCTCACACTCAGCAGTTACTGTGGGGCCTGCACAAGGTGCTGAGAGGGGCAGAGGAACTGGCTGTCCAGAGGTAAAGCTCACTTTGCCCACTGAGGGGTATGCTAGGGTGAGCTCCATTTCTTCTCTCAGGACAGCCCCTGGACAGGTCTGGAGGAGATTCAGACCGTACCCTCCAGGCAGTAGAGTGGGGGGGGGCCCTTCCCCCTGTTCCTTTAGGGGTTTTAGGGGTTGTCAAGCTGCAAAATGCCTCAAGTCTGGGAATTGATTAAGGAGCGATTCAAAACAGACCTCTGGTCACTTGACCTCAAACTGTACTATGAAGTCAGCATGTCAACAGATCGTCCTGATTTCCCTCCAGGACACCAGGAGAGACACTTGGGAGCCTACACAGCCTCTCCCGAGAACTGTACTTTTCGCCCTGGTCCTTGGTGACCTTTGGGAGTCCAGACAAGAGGGAAGTAAGTAATGGGAGCAGAGTAGAAGGGGTTTCACAGAAGAGATGAGACAAGAAACAAAGGCCTGGAGTGGAGGGAGGTGGGCACACTGAGCAAGCAGACACAGGGATGAGGAACGGAGGGAGGGTAGTCCTGGAGACCAGGGCCGCCTTGAACACTAGGGGCACTGACATGGTCAGTCATGATCTCCGTAGCAAAATGTCAACACACCTGAACTCTTAAAAGTAGGGGAAACAAAGGGCAACGGGACCAGTTATAAAGCTTGACTTAAAGCCCTGGAATGTCAGGCTGAGAAAAGGTACAGTGAACTTGACAATGGATGACTGGCATGACCGTGACAGTGACATGCAGAGTGAGACAGTTGCCACCAGTGTTGAGCAGGGCACCACTATTTACAACTCAGTGGGTCTTTGCAGCATACATATTCTAAGAGCTACCTTCTCTAGAAGGGCATCTGCCAGGGACTTTTCTCCTTCTGCTTTAGTTTGGTTGGCTGTGACCAAACCAGGATGGACCAGGGTGAAGCTTTGCGTTGCCCCTAGTTGGAAGGGAGATCCTAGACTTGTCACTTCCCCTCATGGACCCCAATTTCCTCATCTGCAAAAATGAGGAAGCCAAATTAGATCTCTTCCAAGGTTCCTTCCAGCTATGATGTTGAATAGGAGTTCTAACAGTACTCAGAGAAAAACTTGCCTGATGTAAAGCCAGGCTCCTGCCACCTTCTGCCTGTACTCTGGTGTTGTCATGTGGACATGACCTGCCCTGAAGGAGGACCGCAGCTCAGGTAAGACGGCCCCCAAGGGTCAGTCAAGTGTCCAGATGCACAGTGCTAAATACAGCCAACAAGGGGGAACACAGGCTTTTCAAAACATGCCTCTTTCAAGGGGCCCCTCTTCAGGTGCATGTCAACTGTCCCAGCAATTCCTATTATTCTCAGATGGTGAAGATAAATGCCAGTGAGCGGGCGGGCGGGCCCTGCACACGCCCTGTGGAGCTTTATCTCGTAACAACAGGCAATGCTGGGGATCAGATGTCCCCACGAAGCGGGTGAGTTTTGAGGACTAATCCTGTAGATAGGAAAGGGCTGCAGTCGGGGCCTAAGGAGTGTTGCTGACCCCATTTCAATAGCAGCGGCAAAGGCCAAGATTTCAGAGGGCACTGCCCTGTGAGCCGCTCTGGCAGAAGAGCTGTTCCAGAACAACAAACATGCTCTTCTGCTGCAGTGGGCTAGTACCAACCAACCCGTGCCACCTGCACCTGCACCAGATCCGGCCACACCCATTAGAGCCCCACTCCACCAGGAACAAGACACAGAGCTGGGCTGGTCACGTGGTACCCCTAAGTTACAAAGATAACAAAACCGAAAATCAATGACCCAAAGCTCTCCAGCAGAGCTCAACTCGTAACAAATTTCTAGGGTGTTTCTGAGTCTGTAAACCTTCCCGTGAGGAGCCTGCCTGTTTCTCTCCTGTGGGGAGTGGAACCACCGCCCTTCTGGTTACATACTCTGGCTTTGCTAAGGTCAGAACCTCCTGCGTGGAGGAAACTGGATCTAAGTTTTAAGTGTCCAGGGGGCCACCTAAGCACCACACGATGGGTGGGTGTCAGGGTGGGCTGCTCCCCTCAAACAGCTGAGGCACGGGGGTCTGTGGCCCCAGGAAGCAAAGAACATGGGCAGTGGTGGACTTGGGAGCCACTGTAATTAGGCACATGGCCTACTTTCACAAATTGTCATTTTCCTGCAAAGGAGCCAGCTCCAGGCCCTGCTGGCGTGAAGCAGTCCACCGAGCAGAGCTGCTGCTCCTGGGCTCAGCGCTTCCAGCCTCTTGCCCATCACCTTCCCAGGCTCAACCCTCAAAGTGCAGCTGCTGCTCGGGGGGCCAGATTGGAACCACCCTGCAACCCGCGCCTCCCGCCTGCTGGAGGCAACAGGTGCTGCCCAGTGCGGGGGTCACAGCCGCGGCCAGGTCATCAGCCCGCGGCCACCCAGGCCGGGCCACTGCCAGCTGGAGCCAGCTAGCGTCTGCTCCCGGCGGCTCCTCGGCCCGGCTCGGCGCTGGAACTGCAGCCCCGCGAGGGCCCCGCCGGCGCCCCGGGCAGATGCCCACAGGGGGCCCAGAGGTCTGGCTCAACCCCAGGCTCGCGCGCCCGGACCCCTGCTTCCTAAGACCCGGTGCTGGCAGGAGGCAGGCTTCCTCCTGCACCCCTCGGCCAGCAGGGTGCCCCCGGAACTCTCACCGATCTCTCCCTAGCGAGACAGGAAGCCTTCCGGGCCAGCGGTGGCCCCGGCGTTGTGGCCAGCGGGCCCGCAGCAACAGGCCAAGCGGCTGCCGGGCGCGGGGGCGTGTTGGGGCGCCTCCGTGCGCCCGGCCGGAGGTCTCGGGGGCGCTGAGCGGCGGGAGGAGCGCGCCCCGCGCCCCAACACGCCCCTCGGCCGCGCCGCTCGGCGCCGAGGGTTTTTCCCTCCTTTTTCTCCAGACAACGTGACCTGTAATCCAGATCGGGGCATCTCTCCAGACCGGCCCCAGAGGCCAGGGCGCACGGACGCCCGCTCAGCCCTACAGGGGCACATCCGGGTGACACCCCCAGAAGAAGGAGACGCAAGGCTCAGGCATGGACGAGGCAAAGGATGCGAGAGCGCGGGAGGGCGGGCTGCGGGACAAGAGCCAGGAACGGGGAGCAACGCGGCGGAGCAGGGGTTCGGCACGGGGCGAGACGGGCTGGGCAGGGGGCGAGCGAGGGGAGGCAGAGCGGAGGGAGAGGGGTCGGGGAGCGGGGGTGCGGGGAGCCGAGGGGCGCAGCCGCGGACCCAGCGAGCTTTACACTCACCCGTGTTATACACGTGCAGCTCATCCACTATCCCTTCATTGCCGCCTCCGAACACCACGATGAGCTCCTTGATGGCCACGGCGCGGTGCCCGTGGCGGGGTCGGGGCACTGGACCCGACCAGCCCACCACTCGCTTCCAGCGGGGCTGCAAGAGCACCGCCGGCAAGTTGGCGGGCGACACGGCCGAAGCCATAGTTCCAGCAGGGGCCGCGGGAACAAAAAGTCTCCAGGCGGGGCGGGGGGCGAGTCCTCTCACACACCCCTTTTCGTCTAAGCCAGTTCTCCCGGAGAAGCGGTTTCTCACACAGCAGTGGACTCCATGGAGGCCGCCATCTTAACTATCCTCCGTCCCTCCACTTCTTCCCGTTCTTCTCGCGCACCGCTTCTCTTCACACGCCTCCTGAAACTGTCCAGAGTCTAAGCTTGAAAAACTGGCGGCAGCTGAGGCCTGCCGCCCTGACAACTTGCCCAGGCGCCCCTGCTCACAGGCTCGGGCGGGAGGCCCTGGGAGCCGCCATGTTGAGCCGCCTCTCTCTCCTCCCTTCCTCAGTCGTAGCCCTCCCCCGCCGGAAATGGCGGAGCCCCGGCCCGGTTCCCACACCCCCAAGTCCCCTTCACTGGCCGGCTTCCGGGGCGGGTGAAAAAGAGCTACAAGCGCCGCGGTTGTCTCAGCCCTGCCGGCGCTCAGACCACAATTGTGGGAGCCGCCATCTTGAGACTGTGCCGCTTCCCCGCCCAGCACTTAGTGCAGCTGCCGCTCCCGCGGCAGCCTCCACACTTCTAAAGAGTGGAGGCACGTCGGAGGCCGGTGGAACGAGTTAGAACTCTCGGAGGCAGCTCCGACACTTGCGCTCTACGGCTCGTGAGGTCTCACAGTTCTTTCCTGAATCCGCTTCTACTGCCTAGGCTGAGTCGGCCGCTCTGGGAGCCGCCATCTTGAGACTAGCTACCCCTTCCGTCCTACACTCTTCCTCCTGACTCTGTTCTTCCACTGCAAACCTAATACAAAGCAGCGTCCGATGCTCACTTTCCTCCTTATGTTTCCTCCGTACAGAGGCCGCTTCAAAGAGCTACAGTTAAGCTTCGAAGTGGCAACTGTACGGCAGGAGAAGCGGTAACGGCAGGGCGCTCATGCCTCCTCCCTGGGAGCCGCCATCTTGTGTAGAGAAGTAACAACTAAACATGGCGGCGGCGGTCGAGCGAGGGGGCGTGGTTTAATGACGTCAATGTCCCCCGCCCTCACACCGCTCCGTCTCGGAGCCGAAGGCTGTTAAAGGGTCCTCTGCCCGCTCGCGACGGGATGTCAGTGCTGCCACACGCTAGGACGGTGTTAGGACCGCATTCGGGCCACAGTGGGGTCAGGCGCCGGCGTTCCTCGTCCCGCCATCCCCTTGAAGGCGGCCCCACGCCTCCGCCCTGGGAGCCGCCATCTTGCCACTTCCCCTCGCCCGGCCGTCCACAGGCGTCAATAGCGAGTTTTAGCACAAAACAAAGATGGCGGCGGCGTGTGGTGAATGCCCGGATGAAAATGCTAACCTCGGAGATTGTTTCAGCCCCGCCTCTCCCTTTGAAAACGCCCCCCAGGTCATTTGAGAGGCAGAGCCCAAGTGCCTTTACGTTTACTAGCACAGGCAACAGGGACACAGGTGACGAGACGAGCAGTAGGGTATACACTTTCCCGCCTGCACAGCCCGCAGCCACAAGGTAGCCAGCGGGGACTTCGGCCAAAGGAGCGGCCGAGGGGGCGGAGCGGAAGGGGCGTGGCCTCCTAGATCCCAGGCTTTACGACCGCGCCCCTGTGGTGCGTTTGGGTCGCCCGGCTCTGAGCAAAGGCAGAGGGTCACGCTCCTACGGGCTGTCCGGGCACCGGGCCGTCCTCCACCCCGCCAGCCGCGAGGCAGGCAGCCAAGCTGAGGACACTGAGACCGCAGGCCATATTCGGGCGGACAGGAGCAGGATAGCTCCGCGTCACTCGGCGTCACCTCCCGTCATCCCGCTTTCTTCCCAGACCCCGCGCCCCGCCCCTGCGCGCATGCGTACGACCTCTTCTCAGGTCCGCCCTTTTTCACACTTTGAATTTCCTCCGTCTCAGACCAAGAGACGCAAAATACCCGGATGGTGCTTGCTGCCCTTTTCGCGCCAATACTGTAAGTTCTCTTTACAACTTGGCGAGGTGGGTACTGCTGCCGACCCTGTGTCACAAAGCCCTCCTGGAGCGTAGCACCTCATCAGGCTGCGCCATCAGCCCAGTGCCAGGAAGCTTGCTACAGAACTGGGAAGCTGAGCTGCTTTATTTTATCTTTATTGTCACCAACCTCTCCTTGAAGGTAGCATTTCCAGCAAATCCCAGGGGGCGTTCCCTGTACCTGAGACTTGGAAATCACAGATGGCTGTGTTGTAGCTTTTTGATACTTTCGTTACACTCACCACTACTAGGACATTTCTGTTCTTCAACCTACTCACAGACTTTAGTTTAATGTGGCAATAAAACACAATATCCAGGTCTTCGGTCGAGAACTGCTGGCCCCCTGTTTTAAGCTCTCTGCTCTATCTCATTCTTGGCTGTTTGTCTCATTATTAATGATTATAAAACTATTCCATTCTTTGAGACCCTCGGTCTGCAGCATTCTGGCTCCCGAACCGTGGGACAAGGTGGTGGTTTCTCTTTCTTTCTGTTTTTCTAGCAGGCACCAGGAACCGAAAGGGAATTCGCTCAGGACCTTCTTGACCCAGTTGGATCCCACCACCCAAACCCTGGTAAACAGGGTCTCCATCAGTGTCAACTGTCCTCATAAAATAAACAACGGGGATATAATAAAAATACTGGACAGATCCTTCAGATATGAAAGTGGACCTTCTCTCCAAGATGATAAGAAAAATGCAGCTCAATCATTGAGAAATGTGAAAAATGCCAAGGTTTGATGTCTCTTCCTTGCATAATGATATAAAATCATTTGCATGACCTCTCCAAAAAAAAAACCTATATCCACAAATATCTCAATAATCACTTTTGAATCTCTCAAACTTATTTGTAATTAATTTAAAGTGCATTGGAGGAGAACGTAAGGTACACATGTCACCTCACCCCCGGGACAGGAGAGAGCTGAACAAGATGGCTTTCAAGGGCCTCCTTCAGGGTCAGGAATCAAGTAACTACCCCACCTCCTGGGACATGCAGAAGGCTCACCCACATGCCAGCCCCAGGCTAAGGCCATTTAATAACAAGTCACTTTGAGTTTGCCCTGCTAGGCTTCAGGTGGACTTTGCCCGAGCAGCAGCAGAAAGGAAGAGTAACTCCACTACCTTACCCTGCTCCGTGCTCACTGGAAGACAGGAGGGTCAGACCACAGGGGCAGCATGGGCACCCTCCCCCAAAAGCCACAGAGACAGGCTTTGACCCACACACCCTGGCTCAGCCACACAAGTGAGGTCTTTGCCCTCTGCTGTTTGTATCTCCACTGCTAACTGACTCATCTGATAACCACTGTACTAGTTTTCACTCAGTTCTTTTAGCCACATTTCCAGAAACAGGTTTCTGCTGTGACCACCACATTTACTACAGCACCCTCCCCTTTCAAGGGTCTCACAGTCTTTAATGTTCCAGCCCTTATGTTACAACTTTGGTTGGATGCTCTCAAATCCAACTCATAGCAATTCCATGAACAACAGATTTGAACCTTGTTCTATCCTGTGCCACTGTCACACCTGACACACTAGAACCCATTGCCACAGTCACTGTCAGTCTACCTAGTTGAGGTTTTCCTCTCCTTTGTAAACCCTCCAGCTCTTCAAGCATGATGTCTCTCCAAGAACCAGCTTCTAAAACATGCCAAAGTACGTGAAAGAAAGCTTCTCCATTCTTGCCTCCAAGGTGAATTCTGGCTGCACCCTCTCCAAGACATATCTTTGTTCTTTTGGCCATCCATGGGATATTCTCTTCTCCAGCACCACAGTTCAAAGGCATCAATTCTTCTTCTTTTTTTATTTTTGTGTGTGTGTACCGTCAAATCAGATCTGACATGTACAGGAGGAGATTGTCTCTCCTTCCTCGGCAGAGCATCTGGTGGATTCGGACCGTGCGCCTCTGGGATTGTAGTTGCAGCTCCTTGCCACTAGGCCACCAGAGCTCCCCTGCATCAATTCTTCTTTTGTCATCCTTACTCATTGTCCAGCTCTCTGATGCATAGCAAGTGATTGGAAAGACCATGACCTGATTTAGAGATTTCCTGCCAGTCTCCAGGTTCTTTCCATCTCCCACTCTCTCGGGCGTTCCAGCACTCTCCACTAAATCAGAGAGGTTCTCTGCACAGGAACTCTGGTTCAGAGCCTTTGCTTGGTTCCCGTCTATAATTTCTACTCATGTAACTCAGTCACAGTTATTACAACCCTCCTCCCAGTCACTCTGTCACCTTCCTCTGCCTCCTGGTAACTACTTCGGCTTCTATGTATTTCCTTATTCTCTATAAGTGAGATCATGTCTTTAGCCTTTTGAAACTGACTTTCACTCTGCATATTTTCACCTTTTTCAGGCCTTCTTTCTCTTGCTGGCTGAGTAGTAGTCCATGGAACATACACACCATATTGTTTAGATCCATTAATCTGTTGGTGGGCACTTGAATTAGTGGACATGTTTCTGTTTATATTCCCGCCTCCCCTTCTTGTGGGACTGCCAGGCCATCAGAGTCTGTATTCAGCCCCACAGCAGCCACACTATTGGACAACACTTTGACCGGCGGTGGATGAAGGTTCCGACTTCTCCACATCATCACCAGCACCTGTACTTTCCCCTTTTGTTTGTTTTTATTCTTTCTAACCAAGTTCTTACTCTTCTTTGTAGCCACAAGGGGAAAAGGCAAAAAGTTTGTTCTGCGGGTGCCAGCCAGCCAGCCTGCTGCCACCCACCTTGGAGGGTCACACGGTGACAACAGAAGGAAATCACAGGACTTGGTCCAGCTGGGAGAAGAGGTTGGTTGTGAGACAGCTGCTGGTCAAAGCTCCCTGACCCAGCTTCAAGATGAAGCCGGAGTCGTGGCAGGCCCTTCTCCACGTGGCAGTGGCTGGCTGCCTCTGTGTGGCCACTGTCTTCGCCGGCGTTTTTGAGGGCGTCTTCATCCAGGTAGGCTATGAGCATTATGCAGAGGCCCCTGTGGCCAGCCTCCCTGCCTTCCTGGCCATGCCGTTCAACTCACTAATCAACTTAGCCTACATATTCCTGGGATGGTACTGGCTCCAGAGAGACGGGGACACACTGGGCCACTCGACAGAGGCAGCGAGGGCCCGTTACCTAAAGAATATCTTTGCTGCCATGGCCCTCCTCTATGGCCCTGTCCAGTGGCTGAGGATTGGGACACAAGCACGCCTTGCCGCAGTGCTCGACCAGTGGTTCACCTTGCCCATCTTTGCGTGGCCTGTGGCCTGGTGCCTCTACCTGGACAAGGGCTGGCGACCCTGCATCTTCCTCTCCATTGAGTGCCTCTCTCTGGCGAGCTATGGTCTGGCCCTGCTGCACTCGCGTGGCTTTGAGTTTGCCCTGGGCCTACATGTCCTGACTGCTGTGGGCCAAGCCCTGCGGGCCCAGGCTCGAACTGGTGGCACCACCTCAGGCACATACTTAGCCCTGGGGGTGCTCTCCTGCCTGGGCTTTGTGACCCTCAAGCTGTGGGACCACCATCTTGCACAGTGGCCAGCCTTCCAGCACCTGACAGGCCACTTCTGGTCCAAAGTCTGTGACGTCCTGCAGTTCCACTTTGCATTCTTGTTCCTGATGAATGTAAACACATCACAAAGAGTCCTCCCTGACAAGAAGCTTTAAGCTATGGACAAAAGAGGCCTTACAGCCAGGGGTGGCGCATGGCGACACGGCCTGTGACTTGCCTGTGGAGCTGCTGACAGAGAATTCTCAGGGCGGGGGGGGGGGAGTGCAGGAGGGGGGCCTTGCACCGCACACGCTAACTAACCCCTTCATGTCCTCCCACAAAGCTCCAGCCAGATCCAGGTGATGTGTGTTCATTGCACTCACTCAGGCTGTAAATTTTCTGTTGTTTAAAACTTGAAAAATAAAATGTTGTGGGAAAAGTGGCGACTCACTCTGAGAAATTCCTCCCTGTCACAGCAAGGAGGTAGCAGCTGAGCAGTGAGTCCCCATGATCGCTGGGACCACTGAACCATTTCCTGAGAACGTTTGTTTGTAAAAACAGACTCATTACCATTTAGCTGGCCCTCGGCGTGCTTCCAACTGTGGAAATCACCCGGGAGAAGGTTGCACATCTTGAACGATCTGCTTTTGAGACAACAGAGCCCCCTCCTCAAAGACTTGTGTAATACTGAATGGGAACTGACTCCTAGCTGTCCCTCCAGTGGCTTTTCACACAGGAGGAGGTTACTCGTCCCTCCTGTTGAGCAGCTGATGGAGACCAGCTGCATGCCTTTGTGTTGGCAGCGTGGGTCATTACCAGGAAGCCACCAGAGCTCCCTTGGAAACCCCGGGGGGGGGGCAGTTCTGCTCCGTTTTGTAGTCTTTATGGAAGGGGTTCTGGTGGCTTAGTGATAAGAAGTTGTGCTGCCAACCCCAAGGTACACGGTTGGAATCCACCAGTTGCCTTGCAGGAGAAAGATGGCCAGTCTCCTTCTTTGTGATGTACTGTCTGTCTCTGAAAACCCACTCTCCAGATGGTCAGCTGGGAGTCCATTTCAACTCTACAGGACACAACAACAGTCTTTAAGGAAGCAAACTGTCTTGCCTCTCAAGGAGGCCACTGGTGGGCTTGAACCGGCAACCTTTCTGTTAGCAACAAACTACTTAGTCAGTGTGCCACATGGGCTCCCAGTACCCAAACCCCAAAGCAGAGTTCTCAATGGAAAGCTGCTTGGTGGGCGTAGCCTCAGTCTGGTAGGGGACTTGGGCCCCGTTTAAGCTGGGGTTACTATAGCGCTATTGAAGACACAGAGTGCAGTCCAAGTCCTTCTGAACTGTCATCTCTTGACTCCCACTCCCTCCAGCTCTGACCTGACCTGGGGGTTAACTGTGCTCACTCATCTGTCTGCCCTTGGCCACGGGGCGCTACTGATGGAGGAGCCCCACCCCCACAGCTACTGTTACCATGTCTCCCGGGTCAGTCAGGGTCCTTACACAGGAAACAGATGGCACTCTCAGATCAGGGGCTCCGGAAGACCAAGGGGAACCAGCACACAGGTGGGGGCTGGTCCCTCGTGCCCATCTTAGTTGTCTCACACTGCTGTGACTGAAACACAAGCAGGTGGTATTCACAGGCCTGCCTCTCCGCACAGGCCAAAGGCCTGCTCTAGGGAAGGCTCGGCCCCAGGACAGGGCTCTAGGGAGGGCTCGCCTTGGGACAAGGGCTCGTCTCAGGCTTCTGCTTTCTGGTTTGGCTGAGGCCTCTGTCTCGCCCCATGCCACTTCTGCTCACTTTACCAGCCAAAGCCCAGGGCTTACAGAAGGCTGAGGTACTGGAGTCATTTCACTTCTGACCAGTCACCCAGCCCAGAGGCCTGGGGAGGAGCAGTTCATCCTGGCCTGTCCCTGATGGCCCATGAGTCACAGCTCCAGATGTCATGTAACCAATGCTGCAAACCTTTTTCTTGGAAATTGTGTCCAGGTCATGGTTTTTGCCCACTTCTGTACCCTCCTCAACTGCATGTTGTGCAGAGGACTGGCAATTCCAAGCCATGCTGCCCTCATTCCGGACCAAGCAGCCACCTCTGTCCCATGTATGTCTTAATGCAGAAGCTTCTGTAGAACATGTTTAAGCCTGCGGTCATTTTTTACCCCTTTGAGAACAATCTCAAGATACGTTATTAGGTTCCATCGAATCAAGTACGACGCGTGGCGACTCTCTGAACTGCTCCGCACCCTGCGCCGTCCCGTGCCGTCCTCTCCACCTCTGACACACTCAAGCCCGTTGCTGCAGTCACTGTGTCAGTCCACCTGGTGGAGGGTCTCCATCTTCTTCACCGACCCTCCACGTTCCCAAACATGATGTCCTTCTCCAAGGAACAGCTTTTCCTAGCTACATGCCCAAAGTAGGCGACATGACGCTGCACCACCTTTGCCTCCAAGGAGCACCCTGACTGCACCTTCTCCAAGACATATGATGGTACTTTTGGCCGTCCGTGCGATGTTCAGTGCTCTTCTCCAACACCACAGCTCAAAGGCCCAAGTCCCCTACCAGACTGAGGCTACGCCCACCAAGCAGCTTTCCATTGAGAACTCTGCTTTGGGGTTTGGGTACTGGGAGCCCATGTGGCACACTGACTAAGTAGTTTGTTGCTAACAGAAAGGTTGCCGGTTCAAGCCCACCAGTGGCCTCCTTGAGAGGCAAGACAGTTTGCTTCCTTAAAGACTGTTGTTGTGTCCTGTAGAGTTGAAATGGACTCCCAGCTGACCATCTGGAGAGTGGGTTTTCAGAGACAGACAGTACATCACAAAGAAGGAGACTGGCCATCTTTCTCCTGCAAGGCAACTGGTGGATTCCAACCGTGTACCTTGGGGTTGGCAGCACAACTTCTTATCACTAAGCCACCAGAACCCCTTCCATAAAGACTACAAAACGGAGCAGAACT